TATGTAGCTGGGTTTTCCTTTCTTCATGCTAGCTGTGGTCCAATTGAATTTTACTTGGCTGGTGGGATTATTAGCTTTTTGTACATGGGGCGGATGTTACCCTCACACATAAAGCATGAAACAGGATGGCATTATCAGTGAGAACTGACACCCCCCAGGGCAACAACACAGCAACCATAAAAAAAAAAGAAAAAAAAAAAAAGTGTTATATTTATAACTACTTTTGAGTATGTTACAAAAATTAACAACCTTCATTTACACTTGTAATCACACACATCGTCCTTGATCTAATCACGCCTCAGCATTTGTTTGAGCTCATTGTAATACATTTGCTGACATACTTCCTGCTGTTACACTGGAGGTGTTTGCAAGATGCCGGCAAAAACAGCAGTTTTTGCATGTTACTTTGACAAGTTTCATGAACAGACACAAAACAAGGAAAGGAAGTTTTGATGGAGAGCACATATTCAACAACTAAAGCACTGATCTAGAACTTCTGGTACCATTAACAGTACAGGTTTTCTGTATATCCATGAATAGGGAATATATTTTCAGGATGAGATTTTTTATTATCACACCAGATAACACTGGCCGTAGATCTCACGCTTTCAAATGGTGCACTTCCAAGGTTGGCCATAGTTGGCTCAAATTTCCGCTGAGTCTGCTAAATACGAGCCATTGGTGGCACTGCAAGCGCCACCCGATTTGACAAATTCAGATTAAAAAGCATCGAAATGGATAGAAAATGATCAGTTAAGCAGGGACTCCACCACCCCTCCAACCCTGACAAGAAACCTAGGAAGGAAATGGCTGATTCATACCAGTTGCACTTTCCTGAGATGGGACAGATCAGTGCAAGAAAATGATTGATAGTGCTTTAACCTATTACTGCTGCTGGGTGCTGACTCTTTAAAAGGAGAAGTTCACCTTTGGGAACAAGTTACACCCATTTTTACATGTAACATAACCTCCTCCTGCACAATTACCCTGTGACAGTGGGATCTGCATTGCACCCACGATCTGCTGATCATGGATGCAATGCTTTACAGACAAAAAAAAAGTAATTGCACATTCTTTTACCTGCAAAAATATGTGCATTTATTTATTTCTTTTTTTAACCATTTCAATACCGGGCAATTTTACACCTTCCTGCCCAGGCCAGTTTTCAGGTTTCAGCGCTCTCACACTTTGAATGACAATTGCGCGGTCATACAACATTGTACCCAAACTAAAATTTTATCATTTTCTTCACACAACTAGAGCTTTCTTCTGGTGGTATTTAATCACCGCTGGGGATTTTATTTTTTGCTAAATTAACAAAAAAAGACCAAAAAGTTTGAAAACAAAACCACGTTTTTCTTTGTTTCTGTTATAAAAGTTTACAAATAAATAATTGTTCTTCATAAATTTAGGCCGAGATGTATTCTGCTACATGTCTTTGGTGAAAATAACCCAAATTAGGATGTATTATTTAGTTTGTAGGAAAGTTATAGAGTTCACAAACTATGGGATATATCTGAATATTGATCAATCCTGAAGTACTGACAGCCAATCTAATTTCTTGAGGTCCAAGAAAGTCAGAATAGTACAGATATCCCCCAAATGACCCCTTTTTGCAGAGTAGACAGGCCAACGTACTTCATAAGAGGAATGGCGAGTTTTTTTAAGTTGTATTTTTTTTGTCATAATTTTTCGGAAAATTAAAAAATTAAAAAAATGTTCACTATTTTTTTTTTTACAGACTGTCAAAAGTGCAGTACAGCGTCATCATATAACTGGCATAGTGGTGAACAGGGACACTGACTGGTGACAGTATGAAAAAAATTAAAAATATATATATATTTTTATTATTATTTTTAATTTATTGCATTTTTTTAAAGATTTTTTTTCATATTTTACTATGACCAAAGTAGTACAATGTTACCATAGTAACATTGTACTACTTTGGGGAAGTGATCAGTATTTTTTTTTTTTTTTTTTTTTTTTACACAATTTGCTTATAGCAAAGAATTACTTTGCTATAAGCAAGCATTTACCTGAATGACATCAATTCATTCAGGTTTTTTTTTTTGGGGCTTAGCTGTGATTTGGCCACAGCTCATCACATGACATGTGCATGTGACCTGCTGTGACCATTCACAGCTAGGCACTAGTATACAATGGATGGCATGAATGAAGCCATCCATTGTATACAACTGTCATATGACCTGCTGTGATTGGTCACAGCAGGTCACATGATACCGGCAACAGGGGCCGGTACTCAGATCTGTCATCGGCCGTGTCCGAGGTACACAGCCGGTGACAGATTGCGCTGCTGCGCGGCTCTGCAAGCGCGAACTGCGCATGTGCGGGAGGACACCAAATGGCATATACCCCGGAAAGCTACAGCATTTTTGCGGCCGCCAAACGGCTATAGGCCGGGCGGCTAATGGTTAAAAGGTGAACTAATCACGCCCCAGCATTTGCTTGAGCTCATTGTAATAGAGGTGCAATAAAGGTGAACTTAGCTTTTACATGGCTGTGATACATGAAGCCAGTAGGAGGGGCCTCCAATCACACAGCACTGTGATTAGCTGCACATTGATGATGTAATCGGAAACCCATCCTACTAGCTTCTGATTGTTTGTAGTTGACCGTGAACTTTCGGTGATAGCTCAGTCACCGTACTAAGGGTGCAGATGGAGCGCATCCCAGAACAACACAATGCAAATAAGTGGCGGGCATTTGGACGAGCTGCCACATATATGCATAAGGTTGTTGACGTTTGAAGTAGTGCTGAAGCCTGCTATATCAATCAGATCTGTTTCTTTTTACTGGCCCTGGACAGACTCAGAGGTAGGCAGGTGTAAATGCACAAAAGTCAGTTTACATCCACCTTTTAATAGGGCTGCATGGAGCTTCTGATCAAGTCCCCCTGGAAAAAAACAGACAGACGAACCTGTGAGAAAGGGGCCATTAGGCATGTTCACATAAGATGCACTGCAATGAGTAATGCAGGCTCAACACAAGGGCAGGTGGAAAAGAATTGTTTTTTATGTGCCTCGTTCATACAATAACACTGCGTTAAGGTGCACTGCACAGAGCTGAATGAAATATAATTTAGTGTAAAAAAAAAAAAAAAAAAAAAACGCAAAATGTAATGCATAACAGATCAGCACACACGTATGGTGCATAGTGCGTAAGGGCTGGTGGGAGAGAGTCCTTAGACCAGGTGTAGGCTACCTCGCCACTGCAGCTATTGTGAAACTACAAATCCCATCATGCCTCTGTGAGTTGTGTCTGTGGCTGTCAGAGTCTTGCAATGCCTTATGGAACTACTTCCACAACAGCTAAACTGCTGAGGTTACCTACCAATGCATTAGACCATATTGCTCCCATTGCAGGGATGTGGAAATGCAACATGCAGTCATGTCAAGGAAATGCAGTGTGCCAATCACACAATTAGGGCCTGAGTTGTCCAAAGGACATATGTAAAAAGGTGTACAGAATGCCACACAAAGGTAGGTACAGTGACAGCTGCAGATGTCAGCTTTGTCTGTTAACAAACCGTATGTCATCACTATTATTGGCTGTCATGGTGATCATGCTACTGGGAACCACGCAGATTGGCACCCAATTGCTACTCTAAGGCTGGCAGCTGGCAGTGAAATTGCAGCCTCAGAATGACCAATGCACAAAGGTGTGTGCTCCTAGTTCCTAAATTGATCACGAATAGATTGTTTTCTCAACATTGGGCACCTTTGATCTACTGATTACTGCAGGAGGTGCCTGGAATGCAATTTGTATCTCAGAGCAGACATCGGGGAATACCAGTGAGCCAATTACACAGGCAGGAGCTGAGGTGTCCAGGGCGGTTTTGTAAAACAGTGTAAGGAGGAACTAACGCCACAGAGAGGTAGGCACAGTGTCAATTGCAGCTGTCAAGTTTGTGAATAAACTTCATGTGATTACTATGATTGGCTGTTATGGTGATCACATGATTGGGAACCATGCTAGCTCGTTCCAATCACTAGTCTGTGACCACCAGTTGTCCGTTCTGACTATTCTGAACTGAATCATATATTATTGATTTCTTAGCACTGGGAACCATTATTCTAAAGATTGCAATAGCTTTGGCTAGTGTGAACCTAGCTTGAAAGTGTGAGGCTTTCTTCAAGTAAATAAAAAGTCTGTTGCCTATAACATCTAAAGTGGTCTTAGCTTTTACTGTTTGGCCTGTATTATAGCAATAACATCTAAAATCTAATATGTTGCTATAGGTAATACCAATATATTTTACTCTCTTCAGCCCTAACAGCAGCATATGGTACACCTAGATAGAAAGGAAGACAACAATGTATGTGAGGTACTCTGTGGTTTATTATGAACATGTACAGTTATTTACAAGCAAAGATGGTTTGTGATAAGGGACAGCCACGCAGATCTGTGTTAATTTTCTAAGCGTTTTTCAGCTCTGTGTCACATGTGGAATAGAAAGTTGACTTCTGTGTTGTGTCAATGTGGACCTGGCAGAGCAGAACAGGGCTTAAGCCATCTACATATGAACCTGCTTGAAATGAGGCACTTTCAGCAGATCAGGTTAAGGGATAAACTATGCGCATGATACATATGTAACAAGGCTAATTACTTGGTGCTGCGAAGGCTCAAACACAGCACTCAGGTGAAAAAGGCATGGCATCCGCTTACCATTTCTCCACTTCTGTTCTTTCATGTCCATCATTTACAACTTAAAAAAAATAAAAAAAGGCTTTCTTATACACATATATACCATTGTACGATGTGCCTAAGTGAGACTTGTGCGGAGTGGCACAGACAGACGTGTTAAATGCCAAACGCCAGGCTATGAAGCCATCCTGCTGGACATCGAGAGGTTCCAGGACTTGATCCTCACCAGAGAGGAGCAGGTGAATCTCTGTGGTTCTTGAGGTAAGACGTAGAAATGTCGGTGAGGTTTTGGATGGGTTCACTCTCCAAGAGATTACATACAAATGTGGCAAGGCTCATAAATTGTCCATCTTGGGCCGTTTGGAAGATCGAGATAGATGCTGTTGAAAGAAGATGAGGACAATCAGATATTTTAACCATACAGTGCACCACAGCTAAATTCCCTGGTCTTGTAGCATGCAGCTATAACTAAACACAGTAGTTTGGTCTTAATTTTACAACTGCAAACTCTTACAGCCAGGGTTCTCAATGCTGGGGTTTAACTCTAACCATTTAGTTTAGCTGTGGCTAGAACAAAGAAGAGTTAACATTTCTGTCAGGTTTTTATTTTTGTCAGTGATCACGTTGAGATTTCCCTTCATTATCTGTTCCTGGGACGCCACCACAATGGGGGGTTCAGTTGTCACCAGGACAGGAAGACACAAACAGGAAAGAAAAGGTTACCAGGCAATTTTCTGGTCTCTCACCAAGTGAAGTACTGTATGCCTTCCATATGCAGGGATAGACTTTGTGGTAGACTTCCTAGCTTTTAACATCATGGAAATAACCAACCCAGAGATACGTCTGTCCCTAAGAACCTGATCGTCAACAATCATGCCATTAAAAATAGTGACAGAGACGCATGATGGTATCTCGGGGTGAAGAAGAAAGAGTTTAGGTGACTGTCTTGCTGATCCATTGGCTTCAATGCTTCCTGAGTGACTGACCCAGCACACGTAGGCAGATCAGGAGTTTGAACTTTGCTTGGTGCATACTTTATCTGGATTAATGACGTAAAAATAAGATAATTTATCTACAAGCTGAAAGATTTGCTAGGATGAATTGTAGCAGGCAGAGATTCTCAGACACCAGCTCATCTGCCAATGATCAGTCAGTATTTAATCTGCAGACTTTTCTATTATTGAAATTCAAAGCAAGCATGTGCTTTGCTCATCCATATTACCAGCCTATCTTACCCTGTTAACCAGATAGACTTAGAACTTACAAAAGACAAAATGGAATGGCAAGTTAGGCAAGTGTATGCAACAAGGAAGCAAAGCATAGGTTCACTTCATGTAAAAAGGACACATGGTTTCCCCACCGACCATGTTACCAGCCAGTTGCCTCAGGCATATGGACTGGAAGGTGCTGGAGGGCTGATGTCATGGATATGGGCTGAAGAGTCAATGTCATGGTATAGGCAGCATGGCCAATATAATGGTATAGGCAGCATGGCCAATGTCATGGTATGGCCTGGAGGTTCAATGTCATAGTATGGGATTGGGGGGCCTATGTCATGGTTTGAGCGGCAGCCCCAATACCACACTGCAGATATCATGTAATGGGCTGGACTGGAAGGTCCATGAAAAAAGGTATCTATTATATAGCTGATAGGACCATGGCAGGGATGGAAGAGATTTTTGTTTTTCTGTTCATTTCACAGCATTATTTTAGTTTGGGGTAGCATTGGGTAAGATCACACAGAGCAGGAAAAAATTGGGTGTGCTAGGACGTACCGTTCCCTGCTGGTAAAAGTGTGGCGCCAGCTCTAACAGCCATGCAGATTCAACAGCTGTCACATCCCGCATGTAGTACTTGTTGGTTTGGATGACTTCACTAAACAGCACCCTGTAGGAAAAAGAAGAATATGAGCCACACCTTTCTCTATGCAGATACCTCTCCTGGCACAGACCATCAGTAAAATAAAGATCCGTTTTTTTCAACTTCATTCTAAAAGAACCCAAGCTGTCTTATAATTAAAATAAACACCTATTCACTGGAGTAATCTTTAGAAGACAACATCATTCTTCCAATCCACCTGTGTAGAGAGAGCATGGCACTCTCCTCTTATGCTAGTTATTTTTTTTGGACATGTGTACCATTCTTGTCAAGTAACAGGCCACTGATTAATCATCTACTTAATAAGTAGTGAACCAGCTATCTACAGTCCACGAGCTGGGCCCAGTCCACATTTCTTTTATGTGCTATTGGGTTTGGATTTTCTGAAGAAACATACACCTAATGATACATAGTAGACATAAATGAACGATACAAACCACGTACCAGTTTGGAGGCTTCTCTGCATATAGTACTGAAGACGGGTGTATATGTAACTCATGGCCATCTCGAACTGTCCTTAGGGAAAAAAAGACAACGTATGATGACCAACTGGAGCACAGGTCAGAAAACGATATGATTAGGCAAGCACCATCCATGGTAATCTCTACAATACTTGCACATTTATATCAAGACTTACCTGATAGAAAATATGAAAAGTTGTCTGAAATTTTAAAGAAAGTCCTATATTTGAACAACGGTAACAGTTTACAGCAGAGCTAAACTAAGTTTATAAAAAAAAAAAAAAAGTCAACAAGTAGCTTTTTTTTTTTATTACAAAAGAGACTATATGGGGTTGATTTACTAAAAGGCAAATCTACTGTACACATTGCAAGTGCAGTTGCACTCTGCAAGGGCATTTTCTCCAGAGATTAGTAAACGAAGCAAAACTTCACTTTGCAAAGAATACCCAGCCACATGCAAGTTTCCAAGGACCCAATAACATGTCTGTGGTTTAGTAGCATTTGAAACAAGGATATCTGACAGCAAACAGGTACAATCTAGATCAGTATTTATGGACATTAGGTTGCTTTGTCTGCTATATTACCCAATATTAAATACTAAATCTATCTGCACAATTACAGTCTCTACAATCGTCCTTATATTTACCTACAACCGTGTAGTGTGAGGGTGCAGCTATAACATTTAATCAGTTTTAAACCAAAGCAAGGAGTCCCTCACACTATAAAGCTTCTAGTAAATCTAAAAGGAGGGTAAACAGTCAGATTAAAATGCAAGTGGACAGCACAGTCATGTACAATCAATCAAATAAACATACATGGAACATGTATTTTTTTTAATGTATTCAGTTACCTGTAGGCACCTGTGGAATGAAGCTTGGCAGCATTGGCAAAGAATCCAGAAACGATACATCTTAATATGGGATCTGGATCGCCTAAAGAGTAGTGGAATTTTAAAGTGAATTATTCAGTTATGCAAGACTCTATTTGTTAAAAAAATGAAAGGAAGAAAGTAAAGAGTCCAATGTAGCTCTATGAAATCTAGACAGGAATCTCAACACAGTTTTCTTCAGGTATATGTACACTGGGTTGTAAACATGGGTAACATTAACTGAGCAATGGGCTCTCAAGTTTTAAATAAAATCATTGGTGTTCTCTTGAGCAAGAAGCCTTTGGAGGAAGATCTAAGGAAACCAGGATGAACCGCTGCAACATGCATCCGCATTAGCGTTTTAGGATGCACATGGCAGGTGTAATGTGCAGGCACTAGGAGCCTAACTTTGCCCCCTGTATGTATGGGACCATAAAAGAAACCTAGAAATACTACATAAGTTATCTTAACTGCTACGGTCCCCTGAAGACTTGTTCTGAGACAAAACGCGTTGGGTGAAGCTTACTTGGGATGTAATCACGCACGCACACCACAGGCCGGGCGGTGGTGGTGTGAATGCAATGTTGGATGTGTCACGTTGATTATTTCTTTATCCTTGTGAGTAATGTTGCTTAATAAATATGTAATTTTATTCGATAGTGGTATTGAGGTGGTGGTTCTTCTGATCCCTTGGGTCTAGCTCATCCATGCTAAATCAACCTCTAATAGCAGGGTTTCTCAACCAAGGTTCCTCCAGAGGTTGCTAGGGGTTCCTTGACCAATTTCCACCCCACAGCTAAGTTCTCACTGACACCACTGGTCTTTTTAGCGGTCTGTAAAGGGGTAATTCTTCCCAATGTCCACAAGTGTAAGGAGCATTCTTCCCACTGGCCATCACACGAATGTATCATGAGTTGTAGATATAGTAATATTTAGCAGGGATTCCCCGAGATTAGAAAGTTATTTCAAGGATTCCCGTGTTGAAAAGGATGTCCTATAGTATAGAGGTCTGATCTCTCTGGTAAGGAGTTTTGCACACTTGATGGTGGTGGAGCACTTTGAGCGATACTGTGTTGGATCTTTTACAGCACCAGTTTGGGACGTAATGAATTTCTATGGACTTTTAATTATTTTATTTCTTTGATTTATGCACAATTGCAGTTTATTCACCTTTATATGGTGTATGAAATGTGATTATTTATTAATTTCACTTGATATACTCTCACCGGTCACTTTATTAGGTACACCTTGCTACCATCTGAATTTCATAAAGACATATATATATATATATATATATATATATACATATATATATATATATATACACACACACACATATATATATATATATATATATATATATACATATACACATACATACATACATACATACATATACATATATATACACACACACACACACACACACACACATACACATACACAAAGTGAAACAAAAAACAAGAAGCGCACCAACCTTGCGCATTGCCTCAGTAGCAGAATTTATTAATAGTAGATAGGTACTCACAAACAGCGAATAAAATCAGGCATGTAGTCCTCAAAGGGACTTCAAAGATAAGAAGCCAGCGCGAATCCCATCATGGGGGTAGACACTCAGTATAGCTGACGCGTTTCTAAGGCTATGCCTTCTTCCTCAGAGCTCTTCGAAACGCGTCAGCTATACTGAGTGTCTACCCCCATTATGGGATTCGCGCTGGCTTCTTATCTTTGAAGTCCCTTTGAGGACTACATGCCTGATTTTATTCGTCGTTTGTGTGAGTACCTATCTTCTATTAATAAATTCTGCTACTGAGGTAATGCGCAAGGTTGGTGCGCTTCTTGTTTTTTGTTTCACTTTGCAGTATCAGTCAGGCTTCCCCAGCCCTGTTTTGGAGCTGCACAACCTTGAAATATACTGGTGGTCGCTTGCTCTGGTGTTGGTTCCATCTATTTGCCACCGGTCTGGGCCCTAGAGCACAGTAGAAATCGCATCTGATATACATACAGACAGACAGACAGACAGACAGACAGACAGACAGACAGACAGACAGACAGACAGACAGACAGACAGACAGACAGACAGACAGACAGACAGACATCTCACTGGGTTTAAAAGAAGGCATGTAATGAAAAGAATGCAGTTTTCTTTAAGAATTAAATTAGCATTTGAAGAGAAGGGGGAAGGTGGAAGGTAACATATAAACAGATTAAAGTTTAGCTTCAAAATAGGGTGTAGGTTAAGTTTTAGGGCTTAGGTGAGTGGGATGGTTTTGCATTAGGGTCAGCCTAAGAGCCAGGTTAAGGTAAGAGGGTGATGAGAATACCTGGTGCTGGGTTCAGGGTACCGAAAACCAACATACCAACTCAACACCTTAGGTAGATAGGCCAAGTACAGTTTATTTCCTGTGTCAATATCACCAGAGGTGGTTCTCTTATCCCCCCCCCCCCCCCCCCCTCTGTCTCACCTTCACTGGAATTTTTGGGTACTCTGAACTTGTTGAGCATTTTCTTCAGTTGTTCCCGCACCGTGACTGCTCTCATAAGCCCCTTGTAGTTCAGGAAGTGCTGCTGACACCACTGTGAGCTCTTGTTAAACTAAAAAGGCAGCAAACATTAATTAACACAAAATACATATGAATGAGAGAATAACTACGCTCTATAGGCTCTCTTCCTGTGAACACAATTTGCATGGTGGTCTCTTACTGACTTTGGATATACATTAACCATTGCACAGAAAAAGATTTATAAAGATATAGATTAATGGAGAAGAATCTCCATGATAACTTGTATAAATGCATAAAGAAAGATACAATACTGTTTAAAATGAACTGCCCAGTGGTACACTATTTAAGGTATATTTAAATATAGGAGTATTAAGCTACTGCCTTCTAATAGCAACATACACACCAAGGAGCTAGTTGTTAAAGTATAACTGTCAGTACCATAAAGACACTGAACAAATTACTGACTACAATGTATACTTTTACAAAAAAACTTCAACACCCTGGATGCCTTGAATCCGAGGGTCCTCCACTATATGGTCAACAGTATGTGGACATCCCTGCAAATGATTGAGTCCATGTGTTTCCAGTGAAGGGTACTGTTAATGCTACAGTATACAAAGACATTTTCGACAATTGTGTGTTTCAAACCTTGTGATCACCATTCGAAGAAAGCCCAATTCTGTTCCTGCATGATTGTGCCACTGTGCGCAATGACAGCACTGGTGTGCAGGAACTCAATTGGCCTTCACACAGCCCTGGCTTCAACCCTACTGAACCGTGGGGATGCATCAGAACACCTATTGTGAGCCAGTCTTTTCATCCTTCATTAGTACTGGACCTCACAAATGCTCTTTTGGCCAATTGGGCACAAATTCCCAGAAACACACTCCAGAATCTTGTGGAAAGCCTTCCAAGAAGGGTCGAGGCTGCAATGGGTGGCCAACTCCATACCAAAGCCCATAGTTTTGGAATGGGCTATATAACAAATTCAAAAAGGGTTAGGACTAGAGAGTACAACAAGCACGTTTCTGCACTTCCCAATAGTGCTAAAATGACAACCCCCCCTTACCCCAGCATGTCTTCTGCTCTGCAAGACCAAATGGTAGCAACTGACCAAGGACAACACAGTGGAAACAAGAAGTGGTGGGTCAGTGCTCAATACTAGAACATGTTCTAGTAATCAGAACATGTTCATTACATTATGCTGGCATTCACAGCACTCAAGTTGTTGAAGAATGCATCTAAAGGTATGTGCAATCACGATTATGCAGTAACCTGGGTATTCTCCAATATACCTGTGGTCTGGGTACTAGGTATACCACTTGATGTTATAAAGAAAGGGTGCAAAACAAAAACAGTTCCTACCTTGATAAAGGCCTCATACACATTTAGCATGGTTAGATGATCTCCCTCTTCTACAGCAAACTTCCGGTGTTCTCTTATCTGTAAACAAACACGGTGAAGAGCTGGTAAAGAAAATCATTTATTCTACTTATGAATGTTAAAAATGTACAATTTTTTTAAAAATATCTGTCCTTTCAAGATATTTACAGAAAGCCAACAATATTTTTCCCATTCTTTGCAGTGCTTTAAACTGCCCTCTTCATTTTCATTATAAATTACTTTCTGTGCATTACTGCAGTCTATGACCCTAGTGTTGAAGATCACCCCCAAACCTGGTCTTGCCATGACTGTTAGAATTTGGCTCTGGCCTGAACTTTTCGCTTTTTTTCTTTTGAGTGAATGCTCTTTAAATTTCTGTTGAGAAAAACTGGGGACCAACATACTGTTGGTGTCACCAGCCACCTAGAAGATGATCCACAGGAATGACTGGAAATAGTAAGCAGAAAGGGGAACCAAGGAGTTAGTCTGCCACATTAAGCCAAAAAATAGCAATTTGCTTTCGACAAACAAAGAGTCCCAACTTTCAGGAGCCCTTTACATTACCTCTCCTGTAACCTAAGCCTTCCTGCAACCCTATCACTAATACTAATGTTCCCTGTAACCACCACTAAGCCTCCTTGTTAAGCTAAACAATGACCCTTCCTTCAACCCTCACATGAACCTTCCAAGTAACCCCAACAATAATCCTCCCTGTAAGCCTAATACAAATCTATCACTTAATGCTAACACTAAGCAACCCCGACACTAACCCTCTCAGCAACCCCGACACTAACCCCTCTCAGCAACCCCGACACTAACCCACTCAGCAACCCCGACACTAACCCACTCAGCAACCCCGACACTAACCCACTCTCAGCAACAGCAAACCCGACACTAACCCACTCAGCAACCCCGACACTAACCCACTCAGCAACCCCGCAACCCCGACACTAACTAACCTCTCTCAGCAACCCCGACACTAACCCTCTCGCAACCCCGACACTAACTAACCCACTCAGCAACCCCTCCCCGACACTAACACTAACCCTCTCAGCAACCCCGACACCCGACACAACCCCGAACCCACTCAGCAACCCCGACACTAAGCCACTCAGCAACCCCGACACTAACCCACAACCCCGACACTAACCCACTCAGCAACCCCGACACTAACCCACCAGACACACTAACCCACTCAGCAACCCCGACACTAACCCACTCAGCAACCCCGACACTAACCCACTCAGCAACCCCGACACTAACCCACTCAGCAACCCCGACACTAACCCACTCAGCAACCCCGACACTAACCCACTCAGCAACCCCGACACTAACCCACTCAGCAACCCCGACACTAACCCACTCAGCAACCCCGACACTAACCCACTCAGCAACCCCGACACTAACCCACTCAGCAACCCCGACACTAACCCACTCAGCAACCCTGACCCACTCTAACCCTCCTTTTATCCCTCACGCCCCTCTGCACTAAAAGATACCAACACAGAGATCCTAGTAGCAAAATCTATTGTTTCATTGAAATGGGTGAGAAATCTCAAACTGCAATTAAAGCAACATTAAACCCAAAAGTAAACATTTATTCTATTGCAGCTTACCAATTATTAGATGTGAGGCTGCATTCATTTTCCTGTTTAGGCTTTCCTTCTTCTATTTTCACCTGATGATCCAGCCAGTAAGTCTATTGTTTTTCAATAGAGCAAACTCTCTTACAGATGCATCAATAACAGTGAGGGGACAAACCATTTTACAATGACAGGGGTGCTTACAATGATCAGTTTTTATTTATGCAAAATCTTTATTCTAAAAGGAACAAAGCTGCTGTTGTAACTGCTTATAAAGTATTAGCTGGAGTTCAGCTTCAATTTGTTAATTTAAATCTGCTAGTACGTCTAACACTCCCCTCCCATCAGATTGACAACGATGCTGTCCAAAGGTGCCCCCTGCTTTTCTTCATCCAGAGTTGGGGCACTCTAATACAGGAGGTGTCTTACTGGCCAGGACACCAGGTGAAAATAGGAGGGGAGAAGTCTAAAAAAAGAAAATTAATGCAGCCACTACAACGAATGGCAGCTTCAATATATTACATTTATGGCTTTGGGTTTAATACCACTTTAAGTCCAGAACAGAACAAACTTGTCATTGCTCCACTAGAATTAAAAAGCTAAAGTTCCAGTTGAAAGTTGTGCCATGCTATCTACATCCTCTAATAACTATCCTACCCACAATGTCCCTCCACTCCTGCCATTATCAGATTGTCTGAAACTTCAAATTTGCATGCACTGAAGAAGATGACACTTGTCTACATATAAAGATTTACAAAATATAGCACTGAGTTAACTTGTTTGCCCCTCTCTGTTTTCTGAACTTTGTGACAACTAGCCATCCAGTTATAAAAGCTCACTCCAAAAACGTCTACTCACCGCTTGTGATTTCTGGTTTGGAGGGACAACAAAGACATTCTGAATTTGCATCATAGCTGCAATACTTAAAATTTCAGCTGAGCATCCAAAATTGCCTTTAAAAAAATTAAAATTAATAGTCTTTTAATTTGTTCTTCAACATAAAAGGGATCATCCTGATGTAAATATAGTGGTCATGTAAAAACAAAAACTTTTCTTTTTATGTACAGTTTGTAAATATATCTACATGGAAGCAGCCATATTTGCTCATTACCTATTCATGCACTGCTGCCTGCTTTGCAGTGCAACATATTAATTGTGTTTGCTATTCAACTCACAACGCACATTAACAGTAAGCTACATTCACACCTAAGCGTCACTTTTTAAAGCATTTTTTTCAAGTGTTTTTGAGCGTTTTTGGAGCAGAATTGCATGCTTTTGAAGCTTTTGTCAGGCGTTTTTCAAGTAGGCATTTGGAGTGCTGCTAAAAAGGGGTGGAGAGCTTCTGTTTGACCAGAAAACACATGACAAAATTCTTTAAAAAACGCTCATGTCACATGTTTCAGGCTTTCCAGTTGAAGTCTATGGGGGATAAAAACACTCAAGTCTGTCTGAAAAGTAGCTTATATTCTTTTTTGATCGACAGGCATTTTGCTACAGACAACAGAACGCTTAGATGTGAACAAGGACTATTGAACACAATAGGTTTTTGCTTGTTGAGCGGTTTTGAGCTTCGAGCTACAAGCTACCAAATCCTCAGGTGTGAACAGGGCCTAAGCATTTAAGCAGAGTTATTAAATAGCTAATCTGCTTCTGGTGGTTTATCTACAAATCTCTATGAGGTTTACAGACTTGTTTTGGATATTTTGTCCCATGCTGCTTTTGCCTATGCAGTAACTTCCCATTGATTTAAATAGGTTGCACTCATACTGTGGAAGTCTATGGGAAGTTTCTGCACAGATGTGGGTGACATAGGACAAAGTTTCCGCAGCAAGGCTGTAAACATAGTGGGAGGCTACGGCCTGGTACACACGTTCAGAAAATCGGATGAAAAATACTGCTTTCAAAGCGATCATACAATAATCTGATCGTTAGTACACAGGTTTCGTCCAAAATTATTTGAAGGGACAAACAAAAATTTTTTTCGTACGATACCAGGCCGTACGATTTTCATTTATTCAGTACAATATTCATCTGAAAAAAAAAAAAAATGGAAAGAACAAGCCCACGCATGCACACAAACTAAAGAATGCATTACAATACAACACATTATATCACTCCTGAAGTTGTATTCTGTTGTACGAGAATTTTCGTAACCTCTTCATTCTCGATATAAGACTAGCATGCAAAAAAAAAAAAAAAAAGGACGATCATTCGTCCGATATTCTCGTGTGTGTACCAGGCTTACCACTGTCAGATGTACAGTGGGGCAAAAAAGTATTTAGTCAGCCACCAATTGTGCAAGTTCTCCCACTTAAAAAGATGAGAGAGGCCTGTAATTGGCATCATAGGTAGACCTCAACTATGAGAGACAAAATGAGAAAAAAAAAATCCAGACAATCACATTGGCTGATTTGGAAAGAATTTATTTGCAAATTATGGTGGAAAATAAGTATTTGGTCAATATCAAAAGTTCATCTCAATACTTTGTTATATATCCTTTGTTGGCAATGAACTGAACTCTAAAAGATGTGCCCAAAAAGGCAGACAGAGCGCAAAGGACTAGTCACCAGCAATGCCTGTGGTCGCCCTGCAACTGATCTTTCCCTGTTACTTACAAAGTATTTTTTGGCTTCTCTGTGTTAAGGCTGCCATATTGGTAGAGGCAGAGGTTTGATTCCTCAAGTCAGAGCTCACATCAAGAGAGATAATGTAGTGATGACAACACAGTGTAGTGACATTACCAAATCTCACTCCAAATCTCATGAGACTAGCAGTCAGGATGCAGCAAAGTCTTAGATCTGACACTGCAGACATATAGCTATGGACCTGTAGGCAAAAGAGTGCCTAGGCACCCTCACATACCAGACAGCGCACTGCTTTTTTCAGGAGGAATTCCAGATAAAAAAGGTAGACTTCTCTGGGCACTCCTTAGGCATAATTAACATTTCAAGATGTTCCTTATAGCATAGTAAATATTCATTATATGAGTTCAGTTCCACTTCAAAATGATAATAAAGAATTTTTTTAAAATACTTTCAGCAGCTGATTTAATAACTTACACTGTATTCAGCTTTTTAGCTTTTAAATTCTTGCCTATGTTCCAGTTTAAGTTGGTCCCATGACTGTTACCCCAGATTTCCTGTTTCAGGTGGCTCTTTTCAGCATCCTATGGAGCCATCATTGCATGCAGGGACTAGAGTTGTCACTTCCTAACTAGGTTGTATCAACAGAAACACACAGCCCCTAGCCTAGGATGACAAGACACTCCCCTGCTCCTCCTCCTTCTCCAAGCTAAAAGACTGGCTCCCAAAGTCCACGGTTAACTTTTTCCTGTGAAGACCTGAAGTTCAGGGAAGCAACACTGAGATTGCAAGAGCCAGCAGCAATGAAAGTAAACTGCAAGCGCTTGGATAATAATTTTAACAAACAATTTACAGGGAAATGTTTATCTTATTGTGCTCAATGTTAAACTAAAAAGCACAGAGTTTAATAATACTTTAAGCCTCTGAAAATTAATAAATACAGTTACAGGAAGATGACAGGGAGAAGGAACTTCTCACAATAGTAAGGTTGCTCACACATTTTAATTTTTTTTTTAGATCTGATCTATGAAAACTGAATCAAAGATGGAAATCTTCAGAGTGTTTTTGACCACTTTTTAAGAGTATCGATTTGAAATGAAAGCAAACAGGTAAGAAAATGAACAAGCAATTGGCCATACAGAGGCCTAAAAAATAAAAACTCAATAACCCATGTTTAACAATTTTCAGTAAGCACTTTGGATATAGTTGTGCTACTTCATCTCTAATGCAGGCCATAGACGGGTCGTTTATCGGCCGAATTTTCGTCCGTGTGAAAAATCGGCTGATATTCACGCAGTTAGTGGGGCCAGTCAGTCGGCTGTTTTTTGCGGATCTTCACATTTATTTATCGGTCGTGCTGGAAAATCCACAAAAAACGGCTGTTTTTTCTCGGCAACGGGGCTGACCGATTTTTCGTTTATCGGCCGAAAAATTCAGCCGATAAACAGCCCGTCTATGGCCTGCATTCGAAAAAAAAAAAAACGTTTTAAACTGCCTCCAAGCAGCTATAAATGATCAGTTGAAATGTACCTGATTCTAAGAGCATCTTGGCAAACATAGGATTGAGAGGAAACTCTGCCATTCGCACACCAAGAGGTTCCGTTAGTCGGCAATGCTTATCCAGACCTGAGAGACAAATTGCAAAAGAAGTTATTCTGGTTATAACAACAACAAGCATTGGTTTTGTTCACATTATAAAAGAATCCATTAGGAAAGGTTGACACCAGCAGCTGCACAAACATGGCTGCTGTTCTCAATCTGACATCCGTGTGGATGCAGGTGCATGTCCCCAAACAAAGGCAGTGTAAGTTTGGGGGGCATGCATCCGCAACCACACCCACATGGATGTCAAATTTGGAGCAGCAGCTGTGTCTGTGTAGCCGCTGAATCCCAACTGACATGAATGAAACGATCTGCACACAAATGCATGGGACACCTGTGCATCCCGTGTGGTCAAACAGCCCTTTGCATGGCTGTACACTGAAGTACGCCGCATGAATGAGGCCTTAAAGCCCGGTACACATGGTCCGAATATCGCCTGGTTCAGAAAGAACCGACTGACACTTAGACTAAGCGGTCTAAGGACTGGCTTTTTTCCAAAGGGAAATGCTTGAAAACCAGCATCCAATCAACTCTTGCATAATTAGCGAGATCTGGCGGGGGGAGGGGGTCGTTAGTTCGGCGATCTCTCGTTTTTTTTTTTTTTTTTTTCCCCATTCAGCCTGCTGAGTTGAAAGAGGAAAAAAAAAAAAAAGAAAAACAACAACTGAATGTGTGTACCAAGCTTTAGATTGTTGGTTGGTTAATTCAACACAGAAGTCACCAAGATACACTGTATGGAATAAAAGGTTGGGGACACCTTGCTATCACATCTACCTATATGGTCAAAGTGTTTAGACACCACCCCAATAACTGAGTCTAGATGTTTCCATCGAAGGGCACTGTTAAATGCATAAAACATGCAGACATTTCAGACAACTGCGCGCTCCCAACCCAGTGGCAACAGTCTGAGGAATGCTCATTTCTGTTCCAGAAGACACAGTTTTAGCTGAATGGGTACAAATTCCCCCAGGCACAATCCAAAAATCTTTTGGAAAGCCTTCCCAGAGGAGTGGAGGCTGGTATAGCTGCAAAGGGGGTCCAACGCCATATTAAAGTGTTACTAAACCCCGGACCCTGCATCCACTATATCTGGTCTCCCACAGTACATGAAAGTGCAATTATTTTAGTAAATATAAACTGCTACATACCTTTTCTCATCAGCGGTTAGAGCAGTCTTGTGATTTATATCTGTGTCCAGCCCACCACTAGCTGGGCTGGGCACTAGGAGGAGTTTTATTTCTGCTCTAAGAGGATAGAAATCCCCTGACCTCTCTCTGGACAATGCTGATTGGCCCTGTCCTGATCACATGCACTCTCTCAAAAAAAAAAACCTCTCTAGCAATATACACCAAACGGAGTATGTGCATGCCTACGGTTCAGTCTGGAGAGAAGTGGTGGTTGCTTGAAAAAGGGGAGGAACAGAGAAGAAAGGATCAAACAACTTTTTTACACAATGCAGAAGATTAACCCCTTAGATTCCACAGTGAGTATAACAAGCATGCTTTACTGCATATACAGACTGATTTTACTGTTGTGAGTTTAGTAACACTTTAATGTCCATGATTTTCTAATAGAATATTCCAAATACCTGTGATGGTCTGGGGTCCACAAACTTAATATATCAGTTTTGGGTGCAGTACCTAACACTTTACATACAACTAACTCTGCATAAAAGAAGGTGACTTGACTTAAAGGGAACCTGTCAGTAGAAATATGGAGGCTATGATTGGGGACTTTTTTATGACGTTGCATGCTGTGGGACTGTATTCCCTATTTTTTTCTATTTAGGGTCATTGACTCAAAATTTGCAGCCAATGAAGAGTTGGAACACTCGGTATGGACATGCTTGTTTCAGGTAAGTGACTTGTCATTAGGATTAGGATCGCAGCCCTGGAATGTACACTGTCATAACAGAAGAGCAATGGCAACTCCCATAATTCCATTTTGGCAGGCTCCCTTTGTGTTTAATATAAAAAGCATTACTATATAATGCAAACTACTTGTTTCAAAGACAGCAAAGATTCATCAAATGAAAGACATTTTTAAGTTTGTTTAAACAGAAATCCTTATGAGATTCTGTAATGGAAAAATACTCAAAATGGCTGCTGGTAACTAAAGGTACCTGCAGCATCCTCCCAAACCTTCCTATTGTAGACTGATGCCAGGCTTTTTGTGCAGGCAAAGCTTCAGCAGTTCCTATAAAACGTCCATTCATCTCTCTCATATATTCCTTTTGGCCAGCAAGCCTGTCCATCAGAGAGATGGACCAACCGGGGTTGTGGGGGCAGGACTCAATATCCAGCTCTGACAGTACTCAGAAGTGCTGGGCCATCGGCTGTCAGAATTCCCCAGTATTCGGCTGTCACAGCAGGGTTTGGGAGGGTTAACAGGTATGCATAGGCACCTCAGGTGCCTGCACTTTACACCTGCAATACTTTTGGGTTTTTCTTTCAAAGCAAAAAGTAAGAAAATCATTAAAGTTGAGCTCCAAGCAAACAGCCAGACAGCTTTGAAGGATCTGTAATTTTGTTCAACCAGTCTTGTGATTACCACACCTCTGCCATATGGCACACACTGGCAGATAACATACACTCTCTTGTTCCACAATGTGGTTTTAGATGTTACACCTCTGACTCCAGTCTACCCAGTAGACCAATAATCACCATCTTCACCTGAGTCCAATTAGCTGAGATGTGATCCATCCAGCAGTAAAGCTGAATCAGGATGTAGAATAGGGATCTTCCTGGCTGTGCAGTGTGGCAGAGATGTATAAAGCAGATGTATATACACCACAAGACTGACTAAACAAAATTACAAATAAAAAAAAAGTTCCCATTTACGAAAGTGGTTGTAAAAGCTGAAGGTTTTTTACATTATTTCTCTGCATTAGGGTAAAAAAACCTTCTCAGTGCAGTTGTCCCCACTACCAAATACACTATATTGAAAAAAGTATTGGACACCCCTTCAAATCATTGGATTCAGGTGTTCCAATCACCTCCATGGCCACAGGTGTATACAATCAAGCCCTTAGGCATGCAGACTGCTTCTACAAACATTTGTGAAAGAATGGGTCGCTCTCAGGAGCTCAGTGAATTCAAGCGTGGTACCGTGACAGGTTGCAACCTTTGCCATCCGTGACATTTCCTGGCTACTACATATTCCACAGTCAACGGTTAGTGGTATTATAACAAAGTGGAAGCAACTGGGAACAACAGCAACTCAGCCACCAAGTGGTAGGCCACGTAGAATGAGAGTGGGGTCAGCGCAAGTTGCCAACTTTGTGCAGAGTCAATGGCTAAAGACCTCCAAACTTCATGTGGTCTTCAGATTAGCACAACAGTGCGTAGAGAGCTTCATGGAATGGGTTTCCATGGCCGAGCAGCTGCATCCAAGCCTTACATATGTTATTTTATTTTTATTTCAGGTACTTATATAGCGCCGTCAATTTACGCAGCACTTTACATACATGTTTTGTACATTCACATCAGTCCCTAACCCTCAAGGAGCGTACATTCTAAAGTCCCTAACTCACATTCATACATACACATACTAGGGGCAATTTAGACAGGAGCCAATTAACCTACCAGCAGGTCTTTGGAGTGTGGGAGGAAAATGGAGTACCCGGAGGAAACCCACGCAGTCACAGGGAGAACATGCAAACTCCAGGCAGGTGGTGCCGTGGTTGGGATTCGAACCAGCGACCCTCGTACTGCCAGGTGGAAGTGCTAACTATTTAGGCACTGTGCTGCCCCAATATTACATCACCAAGTGCAATGCAAAGTGTCAGATGCAGTGGTGTAAAGCACGCCACCACTGGACTCTAGAGCAGTGGGGACATGTTCTCTGGAGTGATGAATCGCACTTCTCTGTCTGGTAATCTGATGGACATGTCTGGGTTTGGCAGTTGCCAGGAGAACGCTACGTACCTGACTGCATTGTGCCATGTGTAAAGTTTGGTGGAGGGGGGATTATGGTGTGGGGTTGTTTTCAGGAATTGGCCTTGGCCCCTTAGTTTCAGTGAAGGGAACTCTTAAGGCGTCAGCATACCAAGACATTTTGGATAATTTCATACTCCCAACTGTGTGGGAAGAGTTTGGGGATGGCCCCTTCCTGTTGCAACATGACTGCGCACCAGTGCACAAAGCAAGGTCCATAAAGACATGGGTGAGCAGGCAGCCCAGCGCTTTTGGCAATACCTGTGTAAAGTGGCATCAGAATCCGCGTTGGTCCATGCAAACATAAGCTACCAGCACTATATTCTGATACAAAGAATACAAAGCATACATACAAAAAGGATACCGCGGGCATGCACACATGCGTGGTGACGTACACCCTAGCTTCCAAAATGCCCCCAGCCATGTTGGAAGTGGGAACACGCGGATTTTTGCCACTATACATATATATATATCCTCTTTCATGTAAGTGCAATACTTTGGTTTGAATAAACTTTGCTAAGGGTTTTACACTATAGGAAGTTTTGTTGTTCTATGCACATGCCCATTACAGGCTTGATATTGATGATCCGTATGGAGTGGGTGAACGCTGACTGACCTACATTTGGAAGCTGTGGTGGAGGTTGGAGCAGTTGCCTTTTGATCCTATTTGTGCTTTATCTGACCACTCTAACATGATGATCAAATTTATCTTGTAAGCCTCCCTTGAGCACAGAGTCAGGTGACACGTGTTGCACTTGGATGTGTCTGATCACCATATTAATTGAAGATATATGACTGCACTTAAGGATATTTTACACTGAGTGGGTGATATGTGCTGAACCTAGATATAAATGATCATCCAAGTGATTGAAGACATATGATTGTATTTAAGGACTTTTCACAGTGTCCTTTTGCACTGGGACTTATTTATTCATTTCAGTGTTCTTTTTGCTTTTTTTCTTTTTACTGTATCAATTAAGTTATTATATAGTAAGATAGTGTACTTACCTAAGCCCAATCTCAATTCAGCACTGTGCTTGAGAGCAGTTGCTCTCTGCACTCTCTCCTTCCTCATAGGCTCAGAGACAGCAGCAGAAGCCATTGGCTCGCTCTACGGTCAGTCACAACCAGTGAGACGGGAGCAGGGACAGGGCCTCGCTCTGTGTGTCAACGGACACACAGAAAATGGCTAGGAAGTGAGCCCATACAAGTGTCCCAATATCAAGTGGCTTGCTAAGGAGGCACTTGGCAGGGAGAGAAGAGCCAGGAGTGCCAGCAGGGGACCCGAGAAGAGGATGATCGGGTCTGCACTGTGCAAAACCATTTCTCAGAGCAGGTAAGTTTGACATGCTTGTTATTTTAAAGAAAAACATTTATTTTTAAGTTTACAATAACTTGAATTTCAACTGTTTGCTTAGATCTCTAATAAAATCTATTTTGTACAGTACCAAAATGTCAGGTATTTTAAAATGTATGAAACATTAGCATTTAAACAGAAGATTACTGATTTACTCTCTTATACAATTTACATTGTAACTTATGTTCCACAGCCCTTTACAAGAAAAAAAACTCTAAGATATCTGAAAAAGACATTCCCTGGAATTCATAAAGACTATGTTTTTGAAAGTGTAACTTGTAAATTAATTTGGTTTGTGCTGCTCCAATTTTAGAATGCATATGAGACACTTTAGCAAAATCTGTGAGAGTCAGTTTTTCTCTATGTACACCAAAAAGAAAGTTGGCCCTAATTACCTCCACTTTTAGATTTGGTGCATTCAATGCAACATAATGAAAATGTGGAGCATTTTAGAATTTGGTGCACTGCCAGAACCAGAAGTGTTGCAAATGCTTCATGAATTTGGCGCAATACATTAACAAGAGGGATAAATGCCAGAAAAGTGGCTCAGCAGCTTTATTGAATCCCCCCCCCCCCCCCCCCCCATTGAATTTTGTTACCTCCTAAGGCATACAGCAGCTCCAGAGCTTGAACCATTGACTGTGCAGGAGGGGGCTGTGCAAATAAAAAAAAAATGACAAAGACAACGCATAAATATGGGATTCAGCATAAAGTGCCCCACAAATTCAGTATATATAATATTTAAATATATATATACATACACACACACACACACACACACACACACACACACACATACAGTATTGCACACATTTTTGTAACTATTTCATTCTCTCTTTTCATGTTACAACACTGAAGAAATGACACTTTGCTGCAATGTAATAAACACACACACACATACATATATACACATGCACAACAGTATATACAAGCTATTTGGATTTTAGCACAGACATGTTTCAGACATGGTTTCATCTCAACACCAAGGCTTAAACTGCCAGATTCCAAGGCAGCAAACGATAAACGATCAGTATATCCCATGTCTTCCCTATTAAGATGCAATAACATCAATATTATTTGCAACTCACCGATAAGAAATGGAAGCGCAAAACATTGTCTATGCCGAGTGCTTTTAGCTGCAAGATCACAGGTGACAGGTTACTTCTCTGCATTTCTGGGATGGTGGAAGGAGGAAGCTTTTGGAAATCCTCCTCTGTGAGGAGCATAAAAAAAATTCAATTAGTAAATCCCAAAAGTGTAAAGAATATAAAAAAAAAAAAAAAGCTGAATTCTAGTTAAATACACATATAAAATACACAAACTTCCCAAGATTCTGTCTATTCAGTCCTGTAATTTACACAGCCCAACAACGCAGCACAGTGAAGTGGAATACATCACTTTTCACAGTCATAGGCTATAGAAGGGACTTGAAAGGGAAGATAAAAATGACAGCACATTTTTCACAGTAGAGGTGAAATGGAGCAATGGAATGCGATGAAGTGCAAATAAAAGAGGTAAGTAACAATGTGTTTATTTATGTGCTATGTTTGTCATTGATTGTGTAAGGTTGTGGGGCAGTCTACTTTAGCCCACCTTGCAATACAGCAGCCCATTGCTGAATGGGCTACCTAATGCACCAAAAAAGGTGCATGTACTATATTATATAACAGAATGCATGGCAATGCCCAGTAGTGAACTACCATGCTTTGTAATGCAGGTGCATTGCTTAGGCCTTTAAAAATTTATTACACCACAGTGCATGTTGACACAGCACTATAAAAACATATAAAAGTGTAGCACCAATCATAAAATAGTGTCACTAACAAAGTCAAAGAAAATATAACAAAAATATATTCAATGTCCATAAAGTAAAAAATTCAGTGAAAAAAAAATTAAATGATGTCCATCCACAACCATAAAGTGCTCTTGCTTGCAGCAAAATGATTTACAAATGCTGTCACCGTCTCCCAGTGAATTAAAAACTCACCAGAAATGATGGTTGCCACTACAACAGCACAAACGCCCTGTGTTTAAACAGAGATTCCACCCCTCTTCTGGGGAGGAGTTTACAGTGCTGACATCATACCGCTGCACGATTCCAGGTTGGCAGGGGCCATCTATGTAAGCTGCCATTTTTTCATTACACTTGATGTTAATTCTATTGAATTTTAGTAAATACTACACTATTGAGAGCTTATTTGCTCCTGGTGAGCTTTATTTCACTGCAGCTCGGCCAGACAGAGCGACATCTGTTAACACCGTCATTTGCAAAGACACGTGCACCTTTAGAATCTCTGTTTAACCACTTGCCGTCCAGCCTATAGTCAAATGATGGCCAAGAGAACCTCTCGTCCCTCCGGGAGGGCGTCATACGAGGTCCTTCCCGGATCGCGCTTTGACCGTGCCTGCAGGGCCGCGCTGTGGCGAGATCTGTCACTGGCCATGTACCTCGGACAAGGCCGATGACAGATCTGTGTACCGGCCCCGTTGCCAGTACCATGTGACCTGCTGTGACCAATCACAGCAGGTCACATGACAGCTGTATACAATGGATGGCTTCCTTTCATGCCATCCATTGTATACAATTGTTTCTACCTGTGAATGGTCACAGTGATCACATGCACAGGCTGGGCCAGTCACAGCAATTCTGTGTCATGTGATTAGCCGTGGCCAATCACAGCTAATCACAACAAAAAAAGCTCAGCAGTAGGTTTGCCCACTGTTCCCCACTGAACAGGTGGATGCACAAGTGGAGCGTACACGAGCACAGTTTTTCTCTATGAGGCGGTCGGATGTAAATGGGCCGCCTGTCTCCAACTGTCACTCGATCCGATAGACGAATGGGGGATGGATCCCCCATCCACCTGATTTTAGCTGATCAGATACAGGCGGGTGTGAATGGAAACATGTCTGGTTACATTTGCCTCCCCATAGAGAACAATAGATGGTCTGATTGGGTCTGCCTGAAAAACAGACAGGTGGATGCAAACAGTCCGCTTGTTGAAAGGGGTCAAAAAGTTGAACATTTATCGGTCTGGTGGGTGGTGAGTCCATTTATTTTACTTTTAAGCAGACTTTAAAGCAGCAATACTATGCAACTATTCCAAGCGTGTCAGATAAGCTGTACTTGAGGCTTTGGTTCTTCTGCCCAGCCACTATGTTACCAAAGGGTCAAAAGGGTGAGTGGGAAGAACCACAGCACAAAGCCAGGGATATATTGTATGCAGATGTGTTGGACAGGACCAGTGCTTGCAATGTTTTTAAAACTGATCATAGGTTGTGAGGTTAAAAAAAAAAATTCTCCATTAGTAAGCAAAGCCACTACTACTAGTGAACAGATGAAAGAATCAAAGTGCCCCATGTGTACCAATAATAGGTGCTTATCCATGAACAGAAGAAAATAAGATCATGCAGAATCTTTGAAACTATACTTTTTTTTTTTTTTTTGTCTTTTTTCAGGCCTTGTCAATTATTGCAAACCATTGAGCTGAAGTGTGTACAATTTTTAAAAATGTTTTCATAATTGTTAACAGAAGCCCAAGGAGTTTCTTCTTCCTCTGGAGGAAAAGCGCTGATCAACTTCACAGACATCATTTTTCATTCAACCTAGTTAACTGTGTATTATCAAGCTAGCACATTAGATGTCTCTCTCCTACCTTCTTGAAAGTTCTTTTGGCGTCCGTTGTGTAAATAAGTGAGATCACTGTAACTCCTTATGTGGTGGGTGGGATGGAGGTTTGTACTTTGTACTGCCAACTATAACTTGGTTATAATCATCCTATCATGACTTCAGACAGCTACATGCTGAGCGGTGGAACACATGCATTATTATTTTAAAATTCAAATGTTAAGGCGGGAAAATCGGTTGATTACACCAGCTATTTAAAAGCTGTAAAGTGACACACCTTGGAGTGAGAAGGGTGTGGGAACATGATCCAACAAGTGTACAGCAATGAATGGGATTTTATATCCTGTAAAATCCCAAGACATTTGAATATAGAAGCCTGGGGACACACGTAGGGAGGATGATGGAGTATAGTAAGCCAAGAACATCATAGGAAATCAGAATAATATGCCAACAAGAATATCGAATGCACACAATATATTATCCCAAAATGTCAATGCAGGCTTCAGTTTTTTAAAAATTAGGGAAAAGTCATAAAAATATTTTTCAAAAGGCTCAAGACCTTAGATTTTTGAATATTAGAACCTTTTGTTGTTTAGTTAAATAGTAGCAGTGGCAGTATGACTATTCTACTGGTTGCTTAAACCTCATTAGGACACCAACATTCTCAGGTCAGCCGTCCTGTTGCTGCCATTACAAAGAGGTCTCTTCCTGGTGCATTGAAAATGCAGCAGAATGAATGAGACTGGCCAACTGCACATCCACAGTAAAATCGCCATTCACATTTCTATAGAAAGGCTGTCTTCTATTTGGATTATGAATGGGGAGTCTATTGCCTGAGTGCAACCCACCTGAGAGGCTTTTCATGAGACGATAGTGGGGCTCCCAACATACAGCACAGTGAACCTCTGGGACAGATAAGTGTAGGTTTTGGGGGAGATAGCTACACAACTGTACAAAAGTGCAGCACAAGTGTACAAAAAGTATAATTATCATTTCAGCTGATGCAGTGGATGTTCTCATATTTTACACAGCAGCACGGTTCCCACAACTGTATTAGCAGCTTTTTCACTGACTCAATATGTTGTAATAATTAATCACCTGTATAGAGCCTATAACACTGGCCAGACCGATTTCTTCCACTCCTGCCAGCTCTTTGACTGGCTGAGGCTTGTGACACTGGAACCACGACCAGAGATTCTACCGCTCGTTTGGGGTCATACGCTCTCAACTTGACAAATCCGCAGTCTATAACGAAGGAGATTCCATTTATAGTGATGGATGTCTCTGCAATGTTAGTGGCAACAACTACCTGAAGGGAGAAAGCAATAGGATTATGAAGAAGCAAGGAAACAGTAAAAAAAAAAGAAAAATATACAGAAGAAAAATCAGAAGAATCAGGGACTTAAAGTATACATAAAGTCATACCAACAATTTTGGCTTAAGATAGAGCAGGAAAGGGTTAGGACTCCTGTTAGTTTTTTTTTTTTGCTGTGTCCTTACTAGAGAGATTTACTTTCTCACTTTGACTTGATGACCGTTTGTTGGCTGTTCAGTGACAGCTATCTAAGAGAACACATGCCTTCCATTGGAGAAGATTCTTGTCACTTCCTGCTTGCTGTGTCTTCAAACTGAAAAAGATGTAAAAAATCTCTCCAATGGGAAACAGCAAAAAAAAAAAAATAAAAACTGACAGGCATTCCTCACTCTATCCAAAGCAAAAGATGGGTTTAGATATACTCTACCATTATACAAGACTTCATTTTTCCCCACACAGCTCACTCAGCTACATGACCAGATGGCTTCATTTTTTTTCTTGAGGATTCCGAAGTGAGATTTCCTTGCCATAGTTACCACCACTGATCCTGACTATTACCTTAGAGGTTTGAATATATCCCTCCACTTTGGATAGATCGTATATCTCCACTTTCATTATCCATAATAAAAATAATTTAAGAGACATGAGTGGGACTCTTTTGTAATGGCCAATGTAGTTGTGCAGTCTTGGGAACGAAGGCCCAGGGAAATGAACATCAAAGTCCCTTGGGAGACATAGGAAGCTGCCAGGTGCTTTAAAAGAGAAATGTGGGAATTAACAAATAAGCACACATACTCATCTAGATGGATGAAGCACTGATCCAAGCTGCATCTGTCCTCCACCATCATGAAGACCAAAAACTGAGCGGTCAAAGACCGCTTATCACTCAGTTCTTGGTCTGTAGTGGACAGAGAGCAGGTGACTGGCAGTCACTGGCTCTCCACTCTATCCCTCCAGGTGCTCACTGGAGCGCAGGGCTTTGGAGGGGGCAGGAGATGCTGGCTCAGGCAACACGCTGAGAGGCTAAGCCAGCTGCCAGTCAGGCATCTGGGCGGATCACAAAATTAAAGTCGGAATCCCTCCACAGTCGGAACCAACACAGTGACGTCAGCCGACAGTGAACTTCAGCCCGCTATATCGGCTGAATCTGGGTCACAGGAGTGCAGAAATAAAGTGCACTCCTTTGACCCACTGGAGAGGTATGGCCAAAAGAGCTTTGGTCATACTTATCCTTTAACGTTTACATGAAGCCAACATTTTTTTTTTTTTAGTTTTGTAAAGGAGAGGGGAATATATACAACACCCGTCAGAATTAAATAATGTTTTTTGCTATCTGTATCCAAATAAGCAGATTTCCATTCATTTCCCAACAGAGAGACACAACATCAAGTGAGAGAAAATAGCAGGAACAGGTCCCCCTACTGGAAGAGTTGCTAAATATTCCTGTTCTATTGACAACTGTAAAATTTAGCATTTCCGATCACTTTCTGTCCCACTGAAAAATAGAGGCAGCGAACCTTCCCTTTTTGGCAGAAGCTGCCTACATACTGTGTATCGTTCATGATCTTAAAGTCATTTTCATAACCTAGGTATTTTTTTCTGCTCCCCAAAGACCTTTATAGGCACATCAACTGATGCAGCTGACGGACCTATTAAAAAGTCTATGAGGAGAAAGTGTGCAGGTGCCGCCAACACTGATTTTTGCTGCAGGTTTTACAAAGTTGAGCATACCTTCCTGACATTGGTAGAGACCCTTTCAAACACTTTCATTTGTTCAGAGGCAGGAAGTCCTGCGTACATGGGGAGAACGCGGAGGTGTTTCTTCATGCCTGAACGAGCAAGGATACGGGCCTGTTCCACTAGCATGGATACCACACTTTCCACCTCCTCCTGTCAGAGGGAGAAAAGACACAAAATAGTAAACATGCCCGGCTGACACGCAATCAAACATTACAGAACATGTGACAGAACAATACCAATACAATGCAAAACATGAGGGGATTGAGGGCCCTGCTCTTTCGAGCTTACAATCTAGGAGGGAGGGGATGGTGGCACAGGAGGAGATAGCTGTGGGGGATGGAGTGGTAGGAAGAGTGGAGGAGGTCGGCAAGTTAGCAGGGGGTGGGGTAGGCTTCCCTGAAGAGATGGGTTTTCAGGGTGTGCCTAAAGGAGAGGAGAGTAGGTGATAATCTGATGGGTTGGGGCAGGGAGTTCCAGAGGATGGGTGACACCCTGGAGAAGTCCTGGAGGCGGGCATGGGAGGAGGAGACCAGGGAACTAGAGAGAAGGAGGTCTTGTGAGGAGCGGAGTGTGTGTGCTGGGCGGTACTTGGATATTAGGTCAGTGATGTAGTTCGGGGCAGTATGGTGGACGGCTGTGTACATCAGCGTTAGGATTTTGAATTTGATCCGTTGCGCAATCGGAAACCAGTGGAGGGATTTTCAGAGGGGTGTGGCGGAGACGGAGCGGTTGGAAAGGTGAATGAGTCCGGCAGCCGTATTCAGGATCGACTGAAGCGGGGATAGCCAGCGGCAAGGCAGGCCAGTTAGGAGGGAGTTGCAGTAGTCGAGTCGTGATATGATGAGGGAGTGGATGAGCTGTTTAGGGGTTTCTGGAGTTAGGAACGTGAGGATTTTGGCGATGTTGCGGAGGTGGAGTCTGCATGAGTTAGTTAAAGATTGGATTTGGGGCTGGAAGGATAGGTTGGAGTCCAGAATGACACCAAGTACTCTGGCCTGCAGGGCGGGTTTGATGGTGGCGTTGTTGGATGTGATAGAGAAGTCAATGGGGGGTAGTGTCCGGGCTGGGGGGAAGACAAGAAACTCGGTTTTGGAGAGGTTCGGTTTAAGGAAGTGAAGAAAATGCAGGACATTCTCTGTTTGGCTCCCAAGCTGAGCGGCCAACCTCCTGTGTTCAGAATGTATCAGGCTAGCTTGTCAGCGTGGGACCAGGAAGCAAATGTAGATCACTGAATCCCAGTGTTCACTTCACAGGGGCATCAGTCAGGTATGGTATACACATTGTTATATTGGTCCAAGCTGGACCAATGTAACTATGCATAAATATACCATTCATCTTTAAGCAAATGCATGCTAAAAGAAAATGCTAACAAACATTTATTTCTTCTCAAAGTCATCGCCAGTATTCTCCTTGAAAATGTCCTTATCTGCTTTCCTCTCAAGAAAGACAGAGCCCCGTTTGTTCAAACATTCTCCAGGGTCAGCATTTTCTCACTAGACTGAGAAGCTGGTTCAGAAATGACACCGGCCTGTAATTTCTGGTGTCTGTGCAGTTCTTGGTTGTGATCACAAAAGTCAGACACAGCCCTGCTGCAGCCTCTAAGTGACTTGCTACAAAATTATAATGTTGAGGTATGGTAACTGAAGCAGAGGAGAGAGGAAAAGCTTCCTTCTGCCTGCAGCAAACAGATGACATAATTTCCTAAGCAAAATCTCTGAACTGGAGCCCAGGAATAGCTTTTTAATGATAAATGATACAGCCTTTAAAAAGGAAAAAAAAAAAAAAAAGTCTCAGAGAGGAATAATAAAGATGCACAGATCCACTGAATGGAAAAAGTAGAAGCAGGGTAATGCATGCACTAAGGCTCCTCAGGAACCGCTTTTTCTCCAGCCACGTGAACAATGAGCAACAGAGTAGTGACGTCACTCCAATCTTCAATCTCACTCCAAATCTCGTGAGACTAGCAGTCAGTCAATCAGTAATTAGATATTACACTGCAGATACTATATAGCTACGATACTGCTATTTTAAGGATGAATTCATGACAAACAGGTAGATTTTCAGGGTACTACTTATGAACAATAAACATCTCTTGACATTCCTTATAACAAAACAAAATGCTAACTTTTTGAGTGCAGACCTATTTTAAAGACTGTGTTTAAAAAGCCATGTACAGGTGAAACTCGAAAAATTAGAATATCGTGCAAAAGTTCATTTATTTCAGTAATACAACTTAAAAGGTGAAACTAATATATGAGATAGACTCATTACATGCAAAGCAAGATAGTTCAAGCCGTGATTTGTCATAATTGTGATGATTATGGCTTACAGCTCATGAAAACCCCAAATCCACAATCTCAGAAAATTAGATTACATGCAATCAATAAAACAAGGATTGTACATAGAACAACATCGGACCTCTGAAAAGTATAAGTATGCATATGTACTCAGTAATTGGTTTGGGCCCCTTTTGCAGCAAATTACTGCCTCTATGCAGTTTGGCATGGAAGCTATCAGCCTCTGGCACTGCTGAGGTGTTATGGAAGACCAGGATGCTTCAATAGCGGCCTTCAGCTCTTCTGCATTGTTCGGTCTCATGTCTCTCATCTTTCTCTTGGCAATGCCACATTGATTCTCTATGGGGTTCAGGTCAGGCAAGTTTGTTAGCCAATTAAGCACAGTAATCCCACGGTCATTAAACCAGGTTTTGGTGCTTTTGGCAGTGTTGGCAGGTGCCAAGTCCTGCTGGAAAATGAAGTCAGCATCCCCATAAAGCTCGTCTGCGGAAGGAAGCATGAAGTGCTCCAAAATCTCCTGGTAGACGGCTGCGTTGACCCTGGACTTAATGAAGCACAGTGGACCAACACCAGCAGATGCCATGGCTCCCCAAATCAACACAGACTGTGGAAACTTCACACTGGACTTCAAGCATCTTGCAGTGTGTGCCTCTCCATTCTTCCTCCATACTCGGGGGTCCTTGGTTTCCAAATGAGATGCAAAAGTTGCTCTCATCAAAAAAGAGGACTTTGGACCACTGAGCAACAGACCAGGTCTGTGTTTCTTTAGCCCAGGTAAGACGCTTCTGACCTTGTTTGTTGTTCAGGAGCGGCTTGACAAGAGGAATACGACATTTGAAGCCCATGTCCAGGATCCGTCTGTGTGTGTGTGTGTGGTAGCTCTTGATGCACTGACTTCAGCCTCAGCCCAATCCTTGTGAAAGTCCCCAACACTTTTGAATGGCCTATTCCTGACAATCCTCTCCAGGCTGCGGTCATCCCTGCTGCTTGTGCACCTTTTTCTTCCACACTTTTCCCTTCCACATAACTTTCTATTAATGTGCTTTGATACAGCACTTTGGGAACATCCAACTTCTTTTGCAATTACCTTTTGAGGCTTTCCCTCCTTATGGAGGGTGTCAATGATGGTTTTTCTGAACAACTGTCAGGTCAGCAGTCTTTCCCATGATTGTGATTCCTACTGAACCAGACAGAGACCATTTAAAGGCTCAGGAACCCTTTGCAGGTGTTATGGCTTAATTAGCTGATTAGAGTGGGACACTTTGAGCCTAGAATATTGCACCTTTTCACAATATTCTCATTTTCTGAGATTGTGGATTTGGGGTTTTCATGAGCTGTAAGCCATAATCATCACAATTATGACAAATCACGGCTTGAACTATCTTGCTTTGCATGTAATGAGTCTATCTCATATATTAGTTTCACCTTTTAAGTTGCATTACTGAAATAAATGAACTTTTGTACGATATTCTAATTTTTTGAGTTTCACCTATATGTGCAGTGTGTTCTCCACCTTTTCCAGCAGTGGCTCAGCTCAGTGTTGCTGGAAAAGCGGAGAAAGAGCATGCACTGAAAAAGGAAGCTCACTCGGTCCTACAATGTTGGGAGCAAACACCAAGGGCTGCTGTGTCCGCAACTAACTAAAGCAGAAGTAGTGCCAAAGCTCTTTTGGCCCTACTTCAACTGTGGGTCACAGGAGTAGACTTAGTTCTGCTAAAGTCCGCTGTCAGCTGATGTCACAGAGCCGGGATTAAAGTCGGGATCTTTCCAGAGCCTGGACCTGCAGTTCAGCAAGCCGCTGAGAGCCTGAACCAGCCACTTCGGTCCCCTCCACAGTCCAGGGCTCCAGTGAGTGCTGGAGGGGTAGAGCAGAGAGCTGGTGACTAACTGTCACCAGCTCTCTGCTCACTGAAGACCAAGAACTTTTGATCGCTTAGAGCCAGTGGTGGACAGCTGGGATCGGTGCTGCAGCCATCTAGCTAAGTAGGAATATTTGATTTTTTTCAATTCCCAAACTTCATTTTTAGCCCAGAATGTTGAAATATATACAATGAAGAATTTCTAGCAGGCTGAATGGGAAACAGAAGTAGCCTTCAGGTATAGCATTTGTATCAAATTATATTTTAACAAATCGCACAATGCATTTAAAACTACTGGGGCCCCTTGTCTGCATAGGCAATTTTTTGTAAATGGTGAACTTAGCCTTTATGTCTGCTTTAGCCCAAAAGACTAAAAAATCCTTTTGAATACATCAAAGCCAGTATTTATTGCCATCTGAGCTCTAGAGAAGAGCCCTGGTCTAAAAAAAAAACAAACAAAATCTCGTTTAGTTTCCAATTGGATTTAATATCGTGATCTCATAGCAATGCAGCCTCATGTTCTGATGCTGGGAGGCTGTTCATATGAAATTAACAGATATCCTAAACCACACCCAAAAAACTTCTTGTCTGTGCCCATCCTGCTTTAATATCACTGGAAGCCATTTGACTGGTAGCTTGCACAGATCCCGCCATCGCATAATCAAGACTGACACATAAAGGTAATTATTGTTACGATTGGTTCATTATGTACTTAGCTATGAAAAGCAAAAGAGAAGGAGTGTTCAGTCAAATGATCCTAAATATTATTAATGTTACAAGCACAGGGATCCTTTTCTTCTAAAATTACATTGTATTCAGTTTAATTGCAAAAAAGCATAGCAGAGATCTTTAAAGTGTTACTAAACCTACAACAGTAAAATCAGTCTGTATATGCAGCAAAGCATGCTTTTTATACTCACTGTGGAACCTAAGCGGTGAATCCTCTGCATTATGTAAAAAGGATGTTTGATGATGTCTTCCCTGATCCTCCCCCCCTTCTTCTACTGTCCCCAACATATCTACTGATAGAACAGAGGTTTGGGGACAAGCTACACATGCTCAGTTTGGTGTGTACTGCTAGAGTTTTGTTTTTCTTGGGAGAGTGCATGTGATTAGCACAGGGCCAATCAGCACTGTCCAGAGGGTCCCTCAGGGGAGAATGAAAAATTCTCCTACAAGCTCTAACCAGTGCTCTGCTGGACACTGATAGAAGTCACAAGACTGCTATATACTGCTGATGAGAAAAGCTATTTAGCAGTTTATATTTACTAAAAATAATTGCCTTTCCATGTTGTGTATACTGTGGGACACCAGACGTAGTGAATGCAGGGTCCTGGGTTTAGTAACACTTTAAAAAAGAAGACATTTTGCATTTTTAAAATGCAAAAGTCTTACCTTAAAGCATGCATAGCTAGGAAAAAATCTTTAGATCATCCCTGTGATCCTAGTTTCACCTTGTTGTTATGGGCTTGTCTCCCATGACTTTGCCTGCCCAAATGCTAGGATTGTGTCTTGAAAGTCAATAGGATTTGGTGAAAAACTTACTTTTTTTTTTTTTTTTTTAGCCCCAAAGGAAGCCTTCACTAACAAAGTAAAACAGGTGTCAGAAAGGAGCATTTTCTGGCTAACGTAGGCCATAGCAGTAATTTTGTTAAGCCTGCACTGAATAGGACTTTTGCAAAGGAAAAAGCTGCATTTGAGGTCCTGTGTATGGACTATATTTTATGCTGTAAACCCTTGGAGTATAAGAGCGGCCTGTGTCCTAGCAACAGAGGATGCTAGGCAGCTTCCTAGAAGCTACCTGCATCCTAGAAACAGGGCTATTTAAGCTGTATGTATGTAAAAATTGATCAAAAGTTACATGCATACAACATACAAAACACTTTTTACGCAGGATCTTGTTACTATCTTCTTCCAAGCAAAATTCTGCATACTAGTTGCCGTATTCTCATACAACCATGTGTATGAACCCTTAGAGAGATTCTGTTAGGAAAGGGGTTGCTGCTACGGGTATGAAGAGAAGAGCAAGTACCCAAAGCAGCTACCCATACCATTTTTATCATGGATGAATCTTGGGCCCTTCCAATGGGCAAAGCACAAACACTTTCAGGTAGTTTCTGATCTTGTTGCTAAGCCAAATTCCCCCCCCCCCCCCCCCCCTCCCCACACAGACACACACCACACACTTTTCCTGGTCTATCACTACAATGGGCAGCTACCGGTCTATAGGAATGTGCAGCTACCAGTCCATAGGAATGTGCAGAATTTTGCAAGGGGTTGACAAGGTTCAGGAAGTGCAACAGCTGTGCTTGTGAAAATGATCTGAGACACTTCTAGGTGTCTGCACTTGAAACCTGCAGCAGTCTCTTATTTTAGCCCTCTCAAAAACTCATTTTAAAAGGGACTAAACTCCAAACACTGACTAAATAGTCTTTGTTTAAAGAAGATAGGAAATACTTTCCCGCTCCCTATATCACCAAACATTGCTCTAATGCTGTGAAGTCGCTGCTTGAGGATTAGAGTAACATTCAATGGTGCAGGCAGCAGAGAGGAAAGTATTTATCATCTACTTTATAATGAGGCCTTTTATTCAGAGAATACGTTTAGCAACTTCGTCACTTTCAGTGTGAATCATCTTTTCACCTTTTCATAAGTGTGTCATACCTGGCCAGTTAGAAAAGCAAGAATATCTCCATCTATGTCACTTTGATGGATCTTCATCACCGTCTGTACTGTAGACTTCAAGTAATCTGGAACAGGGCTGATGAAAAAAAAGTTGGATAAAGAGAGAAGATTGAAACAAATGATAAAAATGAATAGACAGGGAAATCTGTGATAAAAAGGAAGAAAGGAAGATCCTGACCTTTGAGTATAGAAAATATCCACAGGGAATGTCCTCCCTTCCACTGTGAGGATGGCACATGTGTCTCTGTTGGGATCATTGGTGTCATTCTGATTGAAGAACGCCTTGAATTTCTGTATAAGGGGTGATATTGCTGTTAGGTTTAGTACACAGATATTCAGAGAAGACAGAGAAGGCTAACCATTTCCCTCCTTTAGCAAACAATTATAGGATCACATCAACTATCTCATGTTTTTTGTTGTTTTGTAAGTGGTTTCCCAAGAAAGTAACACCACATTCTCACAAAACTTCTATGATTGTCATGATTAACAGTGCTTACTCATGGCATCTATGTTTAAAGCAAAGGCACTCAACCTTTTAAAGAGCATGGGCCACTTATGTGATTTGGTAACCAGTCATGGCCCACAATGAAATTAAATGGTTCAGAATTTCAAATTTATTTTTAATAGTATAATGAACATTTTAAAAAAAGGATAATCATTTTCTGTGGGACCAATGTCCCCAATGTGTTTATCTGCTGTTTAATCACAATTACAAAAATCAATTTTTTTTATTATTAACCGGATCACCAGTAATCTCACGCTTGCGGTCAGATGTGGCCAGCCAAAAAAGCTACGAACCAGTGTTGCATCCTTCACTCTATCAGGGTCTTTACAGCCATCCCTTGAATTGCTAAAATAAGGACTGTTTACAATCTAAACAAAAATAACAGACAAGGGAAGCGCATGCCCTAGTAGTGCAATAAACCTCTTTATTAAGCAAAGATAAAATGACACATAATGCACTCGCTTGCTACCGGAATGACACCAAGCACAACTGTGAGAATGCACCTTCGGAACCCCTGTATGGATGCCACTAGATGTAATTCACTTGGCTAAAGGCTCCTCTCCACATGTCTGTGTGTAAGGAAGAAAAGAGAAAAGTGCAGAGCTGGCCACAATCTCGTCTTGTGTATAGCAGTCTTCAGGATTATGGAGGGCCAGCAATCATTGAGTAGGGCAGCGTACACCGGAAGGAGGCTGTGCATGTTACAATGCGTTTCAGGGGCATGACCTAATTTTTCAAGTATCCTTTCTTCCTTTATCTTTACTTAATAAAAGAAGGTTATTGCACTAGGGCAGTGGTGGGCAACCTTTTTTTTCAACTGAGCCAAATCTTGCCAAAACCACGATTGAAATTTATTTTGAGAGCCACATTTTTAAAACTGAAAATACATCTCCCATATAGTAATTCATCCCCCATAGTAATTCATCCCCCATATAGTAATTCATCCCCCATATAGTAATTCATCCCCCATAGTAAATCCCCCATAGTAATTCAATCCCCCATATAGTAATTCATCCCCCCTATAGTAATTCATTCCCCATATTAATTCATTCCCCATATAGTAATTCATCCCCCATAGTAATTCATCCCCCATAGTAATTCATCCCCCATATAGTAATTCATCCCCCCATAGTAATTCATCCCCCATATAGTAATTCATCCCCCATATAGTAATTCATCCCCCATATAGTAATTCATCCCCATATAGTAATTCATCCCCATATAGTAATTCATCCCCCCCCATAGTAATTCATCCCCCATATAGTAATTCATCCCCCATAGTAATTCATCCCCCATAGTAATTCATCCCCCATAGTAATTCATCCCCCATATAGTAATTCATCCCCCATAGTAATTCATCCCCCATATAGTAATTCATCCCCCCATATAGTAATTCATCCCCCATAGTAATTCATCCCCCATATAGTAATTCATCCCCCATAGTAATTCATCCCCCCTATAGTAATTCATCCCCCATATAGTAATTCATCCCCCATATAGTAATTCATCCCCCATATAGTAATTCATACCCCCATATAGTAATTCATCCCCCATAGTAATTCATCCCCCATAGTAATTCATCCCCCATATAGTAATTCATCCCCCATATAGTAATTCATCCCCCCTATAGTAATTCATCCCCCATATAGTAATTCATCCCCCCATAGTAATTCATCCCCCCATAGTAATTCATTCCCCATATAGTAATTCATCCCCCATATGTAATTCATCCCCCATAGTAGTAATTCATCCCCCTATAGTAATTCATCCCCCTATAGTAATTCATCCCCCCTATAGTAATTCATCCCCCATATAGTAATTCATTCCCCATATAGTAAGCCCCCCCCCCCATAGTAATTCATCCCCCATATAGTAATTCATCCCCCATAGTAATTCATCCCCCATAGTATTCATATAGTAATTCATCCCCCATAGTAATTCATCCCCCATAGTAATTCATCCCCCATATAGTAATTCATCCCCCATAGTAATTCATCCCCCATAGTAATATCATCCCCCATATAGTAATTCATCCCCCATATAGTAATTCATCCCCCATAGTAATTCATCCCCCCATAGTAATTCATCCCCCATAGTAATTCATCCCCCATAGTGTAATAATTCATCCCCCATATAGTAATTCATCCCCCATAGTAATTCATCCCCCATATAGTAATTCATCCCCCATATAGTATCCCCCCATATAGTAATTCATCCCCCATATAGTAATAATTCATCCCCCCATATAGTAATTATCCCCCATAGTAATTCATCCCCCCATATAGTAATTCATCCCCCATATAGTAATTCATCCCCCATATAGTAATTCATCCCCATATAGTAATTCATCCCCCATATAGTAATTCATTCCCCATAGTAATTCATCCCCCATATAGTAATTCATCCCCCTATAGTAATTCATCCCCCATATAGTAATTCATCCCCCATAGTAATTCATCCCCCATATAGTAAGCCCCCCCCCATAGTAATTCATCCCCCATATAGTAATTCATCCCCCATATAGTAATTCATCCCCCCATATAGTAATTCATCCCCATATAGTAATTCATCCCCCATATAGTAAGTCCCCCCTGTGTCAATTCACTTACCTTTGCTCCGCGCGTTCCTCTCGCTGTGTTCCCGCGCCGTTCTGGTCTTCAGGGCGGACTGTGAGAGGAGAGGAGTTCGTCACGCTGCCCCGCCTACATCCTGGCTGCCCCGCCTACATCCTGACAGCTGCAGAGTCCTGACTTTTGGGGCGGCCGCCCGAGAGGAGGGAGGGGAGGGTGGCGGCCGCCCGAGAGGAGGGAGGGGAGGGGGCGGCTCGGCACACAGAAGAGCCGCATTTAAGTTTGTAAAGAGCCGCAGCTCGCGAGCCGCGGCTTGCCGACCACTGCACTAGGGCATACACTTTCCTGGTCCGTTGCTTTTTTTACATTTTTTATTAATTGATAATCATATTAGATTTGAGGTCGTGGGCCACATCAGGCAGCTCCATGGGCCACAGGCTGAGCGTGCCTGGTTTAAATCACTAGATAAACAAAAAAAAAAACTGTAGGCCTCATGATGTGCTTGAGTCATGAGTGTTTCTGCATTTGTCTCTGCAAGGACAAAAAAGAAAAACATTGTGTTCTATGTGCCCTGTTCACATCACAACACTGGTATCATGTGCTTTTACTTCTGGGCAGGTAAAAAACTCATGACAGCAGCTTTGCAATGTGAACGAGGCATATAGAAAACAATGGGTTTTTTGTGTCCTTGCAAAGACTTATGTTATAAAAACACAGGTCTCTGTACATGGTGTGAACAAGACCAAAATATTCTATGCAAGACAAATATGGACATTTTTCCACCAATTGTTATGCACGTATGGTGTGAATGAGGCCTTTATACTTAACGTTTCTGCAGGGCCTCTGCATAGATACAACCTGCTGGCCAGGGCCAGTGCAAAGGATTTTTGTTTACACAGGCGAAGGTGCATTTTGTTGCCCCCCCACCCACCATCCTCCTGCGACCCCCTCCCCTCTCCTCCACAATGCAACTCCCCCCCCCCCCCCTGTCTACAGCCACGCTGGTACCTCCCTCACGTTGCATTCATGTTGTGATGGGGTGCAGTATGGACATCGCAAGGCATTGAAAGTTTGAGCTGTGCTGAACTCTAAATTGCCCCTCTCCAAATCACATCAGTGCAAATCCTCTTGCCCCCCTCCCCCAATCCACCTTCCCAGCACAAAAAATCCCCCCCAAATTTCTTCTCCCAAGTTCTCTTCCCTCCTTCAAACATAATCTCCCCACCCCAATCCCTCTCCTAGCACAGATCTTCCTCCTAGTGTAAATCTTTATCCCATATCTAGCACAAATTATCCTCTCTCCCAAATCCCTCTTCCCAGAACAAATCTTCCACCCCCAAATCCCTTCCCAGCACAAATGCTCTCCTCAATTCTAGCACAAATCATTCCCCCCCCCCCCTGCAAATCCCTCTTCTCAGCAAAAATCCTCTCCCCAATTCTGGCACAGATCCTCTCCCCAAGTCCTCCATTCCAACACAACACCCCCCCCCCCCATCCTGGATCAAATCCCTCCTGCCCCCTCAGCACAAATACTCTTTCCCCCAAATGCCCCCCCCCCCCCCAGCACAAGTCCGCTTCACAGTTCTATCATAAATCCTCCCACCTCCTGAGATAAGAACAAGATCCCGGAAAATACAGACTAAAGGCCATTCACACCAGCACACAGTACAGGAAACCCACGTTCCGTGTGTTTCTCATATCGAATTCAAAATACACTGCAGTTGCGATCTGCAGTGGGTTTCAATATTAACTTAATGACACCCAAAATTCAGGTCGCAAATGCATTTACCTGCACCGGATTGAATGTTCTAGTAGTACCAAGTGATCAGGTTCCTGTATGTCTTATAACTCTTGGTGCAGTCCAGTACAATGTCAGCCCATTCAAATGAATCGGCTGAAATTGCACTGCACATGGAACGCATGTGAATTGCACGTGGAATGCACAGTGCGTTCCTCTGTGAATCATGGTGGGAATCCACCCCGAGTACTAGAGCCCATTGCTGAAAAAAGTTCCACCACCTGGATCCTTTAACTTGCCTGGCGGAAGGGCACTAGTGTGGGCACCTGGGGCGATTGCCTTGCATCTCTAGTGGGGTACCCAGGGTCCCAGATGCCATGATTGTCCCCTGTGTAACAACCAGCATCTGTATGTGATAGGTGGAGCTTTGGGAGGAGAGAGAACTTGCCCTGGGCGGGTAGGGGTGGGCTGGGGCGGCTGGTCAGATTTCATATCCACTTCCCCTCCTAGCTCAAGTCCTCTCTCATCCCAAAGCACCACCTAACATAAACCGTATCCTCTTACCCATGCTTCCCTACTGCATTTTGTCACATCATCTTGCCCCCCCCCCCCACGTGTCATCTATAATGTAATAATCACAGACCTCAGATCAGCGCAGCACACGCACAGCAGTGCCCCTCCTCCTCGGCTATTCCTCCTCCTATTTGTGAACGGGAAGACATTGGAGCTGAGGAGGAGTAGGAGGCTGTGGCTTTATTCCGCTCAGCACTGTCTGCCATGTTACAGTGTGAAAGGCAGCTGGCAGGGAGAGATGCCGGCTGCTATGAAGATCTGAGATCGCAATGCGTGGGACATCAAACATCCTGCAAAAGTTGCAGGGTGGGTGTGCGCACACTAGCACGCCCCTGCTGGGCAAGTCACTTCTTCAGCAGAATTCAGCATGGATTCATTGGCAAGGTTCCTACTAATGCAGGAGGTATGTGAATTACCGCCCCCCTCCCCCCCCCCCCATCTTGGTGCCCTCAGGTGACTGCCTGAGCTACCTTATGGTGGCACTGGCCCTGGTGCTGGGTTCCATTCGCTGGCTGCTACATCCTGACTATCTCTGTGATACAGTAGTGCCATAACTGTCAGCCTGTTGAACCACAGTGTGTGGCAACGGAAGATTCTGCCTGCGGTCCTAGCTCTTCAAGAGAGAAAAGATCTGAGGCACAGCCAATTCTGTTGAGAGAGTGAATTCTATTGCTGAGCATTAGCTGGCTCAGTGAGTGATTGCAATTCAAGCACAATCCTATAAACAGCTCATGAAAAACATCCCTGGGAACTGACATGCTTCTAAGACTTGTGTCCAGATCTGTCAATCCATAGAATGATCAATATCAATGAATGACAATGATGTACAGTAAGAGATAATAGCACACAGCAGAGGAACAGTTCATCTACACTTTCAGTAACCCCCCACAATTGATATATCAATATATGGGGATTAAACAAAGCTGCAAAAATCTGTAGGCTACTGGAACTCCAGGTAGAAAGGTAAATTCCAAGAATGAAACAAGGCAAAGCTCATAAGGTTACCTCTGCATCAAGTGTTGCTGAGGCCACAATCAGTCTCAGATCTCCTCTTTTCTTCTGAACCTGCAGATATGAGAAAGAGGAAACTGGGGTGATGCATCTGACTGCTGTATGACAAGCAAAAGAATGACTGTAGATCTGGACCTGTTATGACAGGTGACTGCATAAGCACTATATAATTTTTCTTTTGTACACCGCTCAAAAAAAATGAAAGGAACACTTTTTAATCAGAGTATAGCATCAAGTCAATTAAACTCCTGGGACATTGATCTGGTCAGTTAAGTAGCAGAGGGGGTTGGTAATCAGTTTCAGCTGCTTTGGTTGTTAATGAAATTAATGACAGGTGCGCTAGATGGGTAAAAATGAGATGACCCCCAAAACAGGAATGGTTTTACAGGTGGAGGCCACAAAATTTTTTTCCCTACTCATCTTTTCTGACTGTTTTTCACTAGTTTTGCATTTGGCTAGTGTCAGTGTCACTACTGGTAGCATGAGGCCCATACCTGGACCCTACAAAGGTTGCACAAGTAGTCCCAACTTCTCCAGGATGGTACATCCATACGTGCCATTGCCAGAAGATTTGCTTGTCTTCCAGTACAGTCTCAACAGCATGGAGGAGATTCCAGGAAAGAGACAGTTACTCTAGAAAAGCTGGACAGGGCCGTAGAACGTCCTTAACCCATCAGCAGGACCGGTATCTGCTCCTTTGTGCAAGATGAACAGGATGAGCACTGCCAGAGCCCTACAAAATGTCCTCCAGCAGGCTACTGGTGTGAATGTCTCTGACCAAACAATCAGAAACAGACTTCATGAGGGTGGCCTGAGGCCCGACATCCTATAGTGGGCCCTGTTTTCACTGCCCACCACCATAGAGCTCCATTGGTATTTGCCATTGAACACCAGAATTGGCAGGTGTTCAACCACTGGTGCCCTGTGCTTTTCACAGATGAGGGCAGGTTCACCCTGAGCACATGTGACAGACATGAAAGGGTCTGGAGAAGATGTGGATAATGTTATGCTGCCTGTGACATTGTTCAGTATGACAGTTTTGGTGGTGGGTCAGTGATGGTCTGAGAAGGCATATTCATGGAGGGAAGCACAGGCCTCTACAGGCTAGACAATGGCACCCTGACTGACATTAGGTATCGGGAGGAGATCCTTGGACCCATTGTCAGACCCTATGCTGGTGCAGTGGGTCCTGGGTTTCTCCTGGTGCACAACAATGCCCGGCCTCATGTGGCAAAAGTATGCAGGCAGTTCCTGGAGGATGAAGGAATTGATATCATTGAATGGCCCCCACGCTCACCTGACCTAAATCAAATAGAACACCTCTGTGATATCATGTTTCAGTCCATCAAACGCCGCCAGGTTGCACCTCAGACTGTCCAGGAGCTCAGTGATGCCCTGGTCCAGATCTGTGAGGAAATACCCCAGGACACCATCCATCGTCTCATTAGGAGCATGCCCTGACGTTTTCAGGCATACATACAAGCACTTGGGGGCACACAAACTACTGAGTATCATTCTGAGTTGCTGCAATGAAATTTCAGCAAAATGGACTAGCCTGCTGCATCATTTTTTCACTTTGATTTTTGGGGTGTCTTTGAACTCAGTCCTCTGTAGGTTGATAATTTTCTTTTCCATCAAACGATGGGCATCCTTATGTTTCTAACACATTCCCCAGTCCATATCAGTATGGATATCCAGCAGGAGATTTTTCCCCATTGAGATCTGATGTGTTTTTAAATTTCCTTTAATTTATTTTAGCAGTGTACTTTACTGTTCCTCCGATTTCTATGTAAGGCTATGGGACCAGATCTGATCCATATTTATTCACCATAACACAATATGGAATGGAAAGACAATCCTAATATGACACAGCAAAAATTAAGCATTAAATTAAGCAAAAAACATTAAGCAAAAATGTGCAATTTTAAAAATAATTTTCGTTTTGTGGTTAGGTTAGAATTAGGCTTAGGGGTTCATTGTGATTTACTTTACATATTGAGTATGTGTGTGTGTATTAAAGAAATGTGCACAGCGTTAAGGGGAATACGTGTAAAGGAAGGCCTCGTTCGAAGGGTTGGGTGTTTAAGTAGGGAAATGTTAGGTTTTACACACTTTAGTGTAGGGAACAGGAAAATGATGGTAAACTTTTGTGGGGGGGGGGGTTGGGGGAGCAATTAGGTGTTTGAAAACTTTATTTTTTTAGATAATGTTAGAGATGCTTCTAATTTTTCATGTGTTCCCAGCAGCACAATAGATATGAACTACCAGTATTCGGAACATATGTATCAAACAACATTTAATATTTAAAAAAAAAAAAAAAACTTTTGAAACCAAAATACTAATGCAAAATATAACAAAATTGTGTTAAAAGATGTAGTGTCACTTTACCCATGCAGGGCAAAGTTTCAGTAACTCTGCAATGGGCACCCCATACCCCCCGATATTCACCCACCAGCACTCACCTGCCACTCCTTCCTCCCCTTTAGCCTGAGACAATACCTGGCACTTTCGGGTATGGAGAACAAATGGCTTCCAACTCTGTGACAGTGCATGGCTCTAGCTACCAATCGCTAGGTGCAACAGATTACTAGGGAGTGATGTCAATCAATCTTCCAGGACACCATCACACCAATCATTTTAGTATCTGCAAGGGGGGAGGGAGTAGTAAGGGAGTGCTAGTAAAGGTGAGGATGAAGGGGGCTCTTTGCAGAGACACTATGACTTTGCTCTGCACAGGCAAGGTGACAGTGTTTCTTTAGTGTTGTTGAAAAACTCACCTTTTTCAGGAGGCCAATAGCAATGTCTGTATAGAGGGTGCGTTCGTGGGCTTCATCTAACATCAGCACGCTGTATTGTGTAAGAAAGACAAATTAAGTTCCAGCAACTAGAATAATGGAGCTATTGTTCTACAGCACTGTGTGCACTTAATATGCCCATCTCAGTGAATTCTGATCAATAGGTTATTGCTTTCTACTGAATCAATGGTCTTCCAATATTTTTTGTTAATATCTTTCATTTTAGGCTTTGACGTATTTACTGGATGCATTGCTGCATCGGGCAACAAATTACAGCCATCAGTAAGCTACTTATGCTAACCAGCAAACCCTGCAACTGTGCTAAAGTCAGAAAATTCACTCCAATGAGTGCAGTAGAAGTTCTCCGTAGCAAAAATCCAAAGAGCCCCTCACAGGGTCACTGTGAGTGCACCTGTGCTATGTAACTTACTCTCCCTCTCTCTGCTTTCATTAATCACATTCAAAATATTTAAAGCCCAACTTAAGCTATCAATTTTAAGCAGGCACAGTTTTCTTTTCTTTTGGGAACTTAGTCTTTCATGAATAAAAGCTTGACTTTGTAAGCACCCGTGGCAGTTACATTTTGCCCTAGCCTCTGTAACTGGACAACTTGGCACAAGTGTAAATACGGAAAACTATACATAAAGGTTGTGAAATAAGAAAGAATTCACGAATACCCATAACAGGTAGTAACTGTATACAGAATAAAATATTTTCCACTATAGAGGTCATTCACGAATCCAGTAACATTGAAGAAGAAATTAATGACCGTGATCTCCTAGCTACTTTCCCCCCAGGCATATTAGCTGGCTGCAGAGATGTCTTTAGAGCACACAAGGACAAACTGAAAGGACACACTGAAATGTAAATGTATATTTTGTGTGTGTATATGTGACTGATGGCATCTGAAATATTATTTAGCAGGCAGACTGTTTGATAGAGACCAATTTCGGATATCTATAGACTCTATGGGGGTTATTTACTAAAACTGGAGAGTGCAAAATCTGGTGCAGCTCTGCACAGAAACCAATCAGCTTCCAGGTTTTATTGCCAAAGCTTAATTGAACAAGCCGAAGTTAGAAGTTGACTGGCTACCATGCACAGGTGCACCAGGATTCTGATTGCATCAGTTTTAGTAAATCTCCCGCTATGTAAGCTATATGCTTCGGATTGTACATTAGTGATCAGATTTCCAAGCATTCACTTTTCCCACATTTCTAAAAGGTTGCCAATGTGTGCACAGAAACTGTCCCTTTGCCACAGTGCTATGTGCCAAACATTTACAATATTTACCTGTATCTGGTGAGCAATGGATCAGACATCATTTCTCGGACAAGCATGCCATCTGTCAGAAACTATAAACAGACAATAAAATAGTCCAATAAAGATGAACATGTAACAAAGCAATCAAAAAATGTGGAGAAAAAAAAATCAACAGCATAAAAGAATTCTCAGGAAGGCCTTGTTCACACTGACTGTATTCAGGGCCGTGCACCCACACCTGTGCAGCTGTCAGATTAAGAGCAGTGGCCGTGTCTGTGAAATTGAAGCGTCCCAATTGACATGAATGAAATTGCCTGCACAGGGATGCACAGAACACATGTGCATATCCGTGTGGGCAACCATGGCCCTAATATGGGTGTACAATGTTGTATGCCCACACGAATGAAGCCTAAAAAGCAGCTCCAGATACAGTTTGCTTAACATGACAGTAAAGAACTCTAACAACCAATCAGATTTCTTGTTACTATAGTTCAGTGCAGTCTGCAGAATAAAAGATGTGGGGCTACGATAGGTTACTGTTCTCTGTGTGCTGCATGTAATGCTGATTGCCTATAATAAATGATAACGCATGGCTATATTTATATGTGGGCAGCACAATGGCTTAGTGGTTAGCTCTTATACCTTGCATCACTGGGGTCCTGGTTTGAATCTCAGTCAGGAAACTATATGCATGGAGTTTGCATGTTCTCCCTGTGCTTGCATGTGTTTCCTTACGGTACCTTGGTTTCCTCTCGCACTACAATGTCCCATCTAACGTCCTACATGCTGATAGGCTCAGGATACATTCACGTCGGCGATTAGAGTCGGTATGAATTGTAATGGCAGTTCCTTCTGCGATTCAGCAGCTGTCAGCGGGTCGGTGCAGTCACCAGCCCCACCCACTAGAGTGACAGGGCGGCGGAGGCTGCACCCAATTTGCGCCTCTCTGCACAGCCAGCGATTACCTGTGATGATCGCTGCTGGACACACTGGGGGAGATTTACTAAAGCTGGTTCACTCAGAATCCTGTGCATCTGTGCATGGCAAGCCAATCAGCTTCAACCTCAGTTTGTTCAACTACTTTTTAGTAATAAGAGATGTAAACTAATTGGTTTCCCTGCAAAAGTGCATGAGATTCTGTGTGAATAAACCCCACTTTGTCTGCATCCAGTAGTGATCACCACAGGAAATTTCTGGCTGTGCAGAGAGCCACAAAAAGGTTCGGCAGCCACCAACCTGTCATTATAAATCCGCATAAAGGAACTGCTGCTACAATTCGCACCCGTTCTAATTGTCACTGTGTATGTGCTTAATAGGCTACGGTCTAAAATGTGCACGTGTGTTATCACATTCTGCCTTACTACCCACCTTGTAGAAAAAAAAAAAAAAAATGCTAGGAAAATGGTATAGAAAAATGTTATCAATTGTGCCCGGAGGGCTGATCCACAGAATCGCTGGGAATCGGATATGACTAAATGGATATGACACACATTTATCTGTATCTACCCATAAAGTCTGAGAACAAGTGTAAGGTTTTAATGATGCATCTGTGAGTCAATGCTCCCAGCAGATTTTTGCAATCACTGACACTATAATCTGTGCTGGACATTCCAAATGTAGAGCAACACTGGACAATGTGTTAATGAGCACGGACACCAATAAACCCTTTGAGGTGGAAGGAGCTATTAGCTGCAAGGTTGCTATGACAGACAATGAACACATCACACCAGGCATAGTAAATTGTGTTTTCACCTTAATACGTGTAGCCTGAGGGTCAGTACAGTCATCAAATCGTATGCAGTAGCCAACTTCATGTCCCAGCAAAGCGCCTCTCTCCTCTGCCACCCGCCCTGCCACCTGTTACAATATAAGACACTCAGAGGCATTCAGGAACAAAAACAACCTCTGCAATAATCTCGGCATCATCTTTTGCATAAATATGAAAGAAGATTACAGAATTGTTCTTGTGGGAAAGTTCATCAGGCACAAATTTCACAAACAGGTGGATTCATGTTCTTAGTTACTAGTGACAAAATCTTGTTTCTCCTTACTACCCAGCTCTGAAACCTTTCTACCAAACAGTCTCACTATTCATGTTGCAGTCTATATTAAAAGAAATTCCGGGAAACAAGTCAAGTAAATCATTCAAACAAATAATAGCCAGCAAACCAGGCAATGATGCTGAAGTCTAAAAGTCCTTAATGAATTATACTCTGATTTCTGTTTTTACTGATGGCAGAATCCAGAGAACTGCTTACATGAGGGGTGGGTAAAGCAGGCCATAGATGGGTCGAAAATCGGCCGATTTTCAGATCGTTAGTGGGTTAATAGGTCGGCCGTTTTTCGAGGAGGAGGAGGAAGGAGGAGGAGGCAGGAAGAGGAAGAAGAGGAAGAGGAGGAAGAGGAGGAAGAGGAAGAGGAGGAAGAGGAAGAAGAGGAGGAAGAGGAGGAAGAGGAGGAAGAGGAGGAAGAGAAGGAAGAGGAAGAGGCGGAAGAGGCGGAAGAGGCGGAAGAGGAGGAAGAGGAGGAAGAGCAAGAAGAGGAAGAGGAAGAGCAAGAAGAGGAAGAGCAAGAAGAGGAAGAGCAAGAAGAGGAAGAGCAAGAAGAGGAAGAGCAAGAAGAGGAAGAGCAAGAAGAGGAAGAGCAAGAAGAGGAAGAGCAAGAAGAGGAAGAGCAAGAAGAGGAAGAGCAAGAAGAGGAAGAGGAAGAGGAAGAATTCCAGCAAAAAGTGTCCCTGCAGTAGAGCTCCGCTATTTCTTTTACATTTATAGCGGCTGCAACATTGTATCTGTTTCCGAATAAAAACATCTTTATCCGAAATGGATACAAATAGATACAATGTTGCAGCCACTATAAATGTCAAAGAACTGTCAAAGAAATAGCGGAGCTCTCTGCAGAGACCCTTTTTGCCAGCTGTAGACGGGATGAAAATCGGGCGATTTTTTTTACCGTTCCTGGTAACGTCGGCCGATTGAACGACCGATTTTTCGGTTTTTTTTAAAGAAAAATCGGCCGTTTTTCTCTCCCCATCTATGGCCTGCATAAGTGTCCTGAAGGTAGTGCAAAATTCTCTCTTCAATTCAGAATGTGTTTGGTGGCTGCAGGACATGACTGTGCCTCTAATAAAATTAGACTGCAGAGAAAAGAGTCTGCAGTGGGGTGTGTTTGGAAATCCTCAAACGCATCCTCAGTCATGCAAGTTTTTCGATTGTCTGGGGAGTGAGAGAGAGGCAGTGTGGAGGACATTCTCATGTGTATTCAAAACTACTTTTTTGCCTTTTTTTGTTGTGAGCTGTACTGCGGTTTTTAAATATTATGCAATAAACTGTATTTCCCTTTTAGTTCATGTTTCGTGGATCATTTGCTGTCCTGAATAGCGAGTTTATATTTACTGCAAGATTAGAAGAGAAACAGGCAAAGAATGAGGGACCACAAAGCTCTTATATGACCTTAAGAGGTCAGTTTTTGAGGCCGATAGTGGTGGTGGACTGCACAAAAAGGGTTTTATGCCTTCTTTGAACACATGAAAGCATAAAATGAAGGCACATTAATTGACTGGTGGATTTCTTGATTTACTTTACTTGGTTATTGTACACTTTATAATGAAAAGCTTGAGTAACCTTATTGTGATTTAGGTTCAGCTGTAGCAGATTTGAATAGGAGCTGCTGCAGTTATGTGCAGGAACCACTGAATGCATGCAGTTCGGACCAGGGGCGTAACCGTATGTTGCTGAACTTTAGTGATTATACAGGGATGATGCCTGCAGCTGTATTGTTTTTTAATTTGGGAGCCAATGGTCAGTTTTCTTATAAAAGCAATCCAAGCAGCTAATTAGCCACTGGATTTCTTTTACACACAGCTAGACGGGATGTCCCTCCCCTCCCACAGCTCCCTCTGGCTCTTCTGTTCCACAGGGAAACTTGAGTGATCAGCCGTCACTTCTGCCGGCTTATCACAGAGGCAAACAGAGGCCGGATTGGCTCGGATCACCTCTACAACATAGGAAACCGGAAACGATAAGCATACATCACTTCTTGTTTTCCCGGATGTAAAATGGTAAAGTATCTGATTACACTGCTTTTGGTGTGATCAGGTGCTTCTATGGGCACAGAAGAGATTTGGGGTCAAATAGACCCCAGATCTCTCCATAAAGAGTACCTGTCACTACCTACTGCTAAAGATCCATTATCTCCTGCACTCAAAGACTCAGATCAAATGGGCATTAGTAACAAACAGCGTGTCCATCCGCTGGTGATCAGAGGTTGTGCAGCTCTATCATGAAGCTGGGGAAGCTTGATAAAACTGTAGAAGAGGATGAAAGAAAGAGCGCACAAACCTTGCGCATTATCTCAATAAATAGTGACTAATTTTCTAATTTTATTTAATTTAGGAAATATACTCACCTATCATCACCTTTGTGAGTAAATTTCCTAAATTAAATAAAATTAGTCACTATTTATTGAGGTAAAGCGCAAGGTTTGTGCGCTCTCTTTCATCCTCTACTACCTACTGCAAACACAGGGGACATTTATATTCCCTGTAATAAAGTGATAAAAAAGAAAAATAAATTAAAGCGAAAGTGTAAAAAAATTAATTAATAAAAAAAAATTGAAAGCACCCCCGTTCCGCCTGTGCTCACGTACAAAAGGAGAACAAAACGCGTCAGTCCCATGCACATGCAAACAGCAATCGATTTCACACGTGTGAGGTATGACCGCAAATGTCAGATCAAGGGCAGTAATTCTAACACCAGACCTCCTGTCTAAATCTAAAATGGTAACCTGTAAAGGCTTTTAAACCTTCCCCTGAATTTTTTGTCGCCGTTGCACAGGTGTGTGCAATTTTAAAGCATGACACGTTTGGTGTCTATTTACTCGATGTAACATCATCTTTTAAATGTTATCAATTGGGTATTAGATTGTGTTTTTGTGCATTAAAATCCAAACAGTATTTTTCCCCCAACAAAATGCATTTGAAAAACTACTGCGCAAATACTATGTGACCAAAAAAATTGCAACACCCACCATTTTACTCTTTAGGGTCTCTGCTTTATAGAAATACATACTGTTTGGGGGTTCTAAGTAAATTTCTAGCAAAACAAACATTTTTACATGTAAACAAAGTGTCAGAAAAGGCTTGGTCTGCTGCATTTTCCCCCCCGCTGGCTCTAAGTGTGGAAACTCAGTAATCACATGACCACTGATCTCTAAATTCTCCCCCCCCAGCGTTCACTGGAGTACTGGGCTGTGGAGTGGGAGGGAGCGGCTGACTCAGGCTCTCAACAGATCTCTAACAGGTTGAGCCAGGAGCCACTCCGGACTCTAAGGTGGATCCCGACTTTAGAGTCGGGATCTTTCCCCAGTTTGGACCAGCTGAGTGACTTCAGCCCACTGTCAGCTAGAATTGGGTTACAGGAGTGCAGAACAAATTGCACTCCTGTGATCCACAGGAGAAGTACAGCCAAAAAAGCTTTGGCTGTACTTCTCCTTTAAGTGACACAGTCAATGAAACGTGTACCAATATACATCCTTAAAGCAAAGCTAATGTGGTTTTAAATGACTGGCAGCAAACATGCCTGCATGTAAGGACCGCTTCCTTGTTCATTGCCTTGAGCATGCCCAGGTATACAAATATTAAATCGGTCTTCCTGGGTTGAGGGCCTCCTATCTACTCTTCCCATCCTCAAAAGTCCCACTGCTGGCCAGTCACTGGGAAGGGCAGTCTCACTGTCCGCATGCAAGACTTAAGAGGTGGGATATGCTGGTACAAGAATTTTGTTCTATGACAAAGCCAAATTGGAATGAAAATACAAACAGACGAAGGCCAAGTTCTCATAAGGGTTACAATAGCCAAAAATACATGGTCAAAGGTGAAGGGAATATGTCTTAGTAGTATAATACACATTTGCAGCCTGCAGCGATTCCTATGGTAAACACAGGCTGTAATGCACAAGGTGTGCAGGTCATTAGACAACACATCTTTATGGCAGGGTTGTGTGCATTACAGAGCAGTGGAAGAAGATATACATCTAGAGATGAAAAGGCTTGTGTGGACCAGTGTTGTAGTCAAACACCTTCCTTTGAACGTAGTGCAGTGCTGCTCAAATGCAAAAATGAAGCAAGAGAGTTGGTTTGCAATACAAACACATCTTAAAAGGATCAAAGAAATGCAATGCAAACTACAGCAGCCTAAGCACTAACATCTACACTACACCACTGACATAAAGGGACATCTGCTCAGTGGCTAAATGGTTAGCATTTCCTCCTGGCAGTACTAGGGTTGCTGGTTCGAATCCCAACCACGGCACCACCTGCCTGGAGTTTGCATGTTCTCCCTGTGCCTGCATGGGTTTCCTCCGGGTAATCCAGTTTCCTCCCACACTCCAAAGACATGCTGGTAGGTCAATTGATTCCTGTCCAAATTGGCCCTAGTATGTATGAATGTGAGTTAGGGTCCTTAGATTGTACGCCCCTTGAGGGTTAGGGACTGATGTGAATGTACAATATATATGTAAAGCGCTGCATAAATTGACGGCGCTATACCGTTGAACCTGAAATAAATAAATAAATCTGCTGACATGTATCTGATGTGTGGTTCATATACATTTTAAATGCAGGACAAAACCTCACATCTACACTAACTCCTAACTTTGCCTTTCCCCTATTCTTCCACATAAGAGCAATATAAACTAGAATACAAACATACCAGATGTGTGATAGGTGACTTATTAGGCTATGACTTATTTGGCCATGTATACATTTTGAGTATCACTGGAAATCTGACAAATATAGTGGAAAAATATAAGAACAAATTCAACACAAAAGTTGAAAAAAGTGAGTCAAATGGTAAAGTACACAAATGTAAACAAGTTTCATTCTTCCTGGCTTACCGAAACTGCGGCCACCCGCCGGGGTTGTGTTACTCCTACTACTTTCCCTTCTGCTGTCCACCCAGCTTCCGCAAGGTACTATATCAGAGGGAAAAAAATGCTTTAAATTTACAGAAGGGAGTATCCTGTGAGTTTAAAAAGGGACTCTGTCGCACAGCAAAGTACCTGTGTAAGAAGTTTCAGATGAGAGCAGTAATCCCTTTCTTTGGGCTGCATCTCTAATGGACAGGTCCCTGCCCTAAATACACTAAACACCGTGCTGCAATGTCGGACCCTTTTGAAGAAAGTTGATCAGGAACGAGTTGAAGAGCTGCACTGCCATGTACGTTCATGGTGCTACCAAGATACTTTCACCTACCATCACCTACTGATGTGTCTAACCTTTAGGGTTAAATCAGATTTTTTTTTCTCCTGATTTATATATTGCTGGGTGGTTTCAGATCCATTAGTGTGCATCCATTTCTGATTATTGGCAGTGGAATGAATCAGGATTCTATTTGGTACAGATTATATAAAAAAGTTAACTGCCCAGCCAGCTCCTGAGATGTTGCTACTGCTTCATGGTGTGTCACGGACCTCAAGCAAATGTGCTTTCAGTGAGGTAGGAACTATTAAAGGGTTACAAAACCCACAACAGTAAAATCTGCAGTAAAGCAAGCTTGTTATAATCACTGCGCAATCTAAGGGGTTAATCCTCCACATTGTGTAGAAAGGCTGTTTGATCCTGTCTACTCTGATCATCCCTTTCTTTTGTGGTCTCTAATCCATCTGCCACAGTAAGAAAAGAAGAAAAGCAGTGGCAAGTCTGCATATGCTGTTTGGTGTATTTTGCTTGAGTAATTTTTTTTTTTTTTTTTTCGGCGGAGAGTGCATGTGATCAGCACAGGGCCAATCAGAGCTGTCCAGACAGAAGGTCAGGGGTTATGCAGCTCCTCATAGGACAATCAGAGGAGAATGAAAACTCCTCCTATAAGATTAACCAGTATTCGGCTGGACACTGATAGAAGTTACAAGACTGCTATATACCACTTATGAGAAAAGGTTTTTAGCAATTAACATTTACTAAAATAATTGCATTTCCCTATTCTTTGTACTGTGGAAGACCGGATTTAGTGAATGCAGGGTCATGGGTTAAGTAACACTTTAACTCCCTTAATCGACCAACTCCCTAAGCAGTGAAGCTAAAGTATCATTAGGACATCCACTCATCTAGGATTTAAGAAGGGTGTTAGAAATGGCAAAGCAAATGCTTTATCCACAACAGATTCACTTCAATTGATTCAGCTTTACTGGACCAAGAGCTAGCATGCAGCACAAGAATCAGAGGATGACTGTTTCCATCAAATGCATTATCCGTTTTAATTAAAGGGTGTAAATACTGCACAAGTGCAGCAGGCAGTGAACAAAGTCAAAGTGAAAAAAAATTGTTAGAAGAAGAAAGGGGAATGTTTTTTCTTTGACTGAAGAGACATGCAGTTTCTTCTGCCAAAAAGCTCTATCACCTATAATTTTTTTTTTTATTTCCAGAGTATTTTTCCATTTTAAAGTATTAAATGATCATTTTAGACTGAAAGATTTTTTTTGCAAACTTTCCATAATGAAGCAAGTACCTGGGGAATTTGTGTACTTTTGCCACATCCTGTTTCTCCAATTATCACAACTGTTTGGTAATTCTCCACCAAGTAAAGGATGTGATTTCTGAGCTGCAAGAAAAATAAAATACACTCATTATAGAGTTAACAGTTGCTGAACTCTGAGATTTAAATAGAAAAAAGTAATGTATTTGCTGGTGATGGATGTTTAGGAAACCTACTGAGTAAACATATACAGTATTAAAGCAGAACTAAATCCATTGTTACAGTTAAAGCATGTCATCAATGATGAAACTGTCACAGTTGCTTGTGCTCTCAAAGAATTGTCAAGATATCATATGGCTGGTACCATAACTGATCACATGTGCATCACCATGGCAACTGCTAATCAAACAGAGGCTAGGATGGTAACTTCCTTGGCTATAAAGGATAGGAGGGTTTTGTTCCGTTTTTTACATCTGGAGCTTGGCTGAGGTGACAGATTAAAGTGGAATTAAACCTACAGATTTATTGGTATATGAAACAGTTACATTAAAGGCATGCTGTGAATGAAAGCGCTATGTACAGATTGCAGGGTTCAGGAGTGTGTTTTACGCAGAGAGTTCAGAATTATTATTATTATTATTATTATTATACAGGACTTATATAGCGCCGACAGTTTGCTCAGCGCTTTACATTATGGAGGGAGACAGTACAGTAACAATACACTTCAATACAAGAGGGATTAGAGGGCCTGATCCTTGGAGCTTACAATCTAGAAGGGAGGGGATAGTGGTACAAGAGGAAATTAGCTGCGGGGGATGGAGTGGTAGGAAGAGTAGGGGATTCCAGTATTAGCTGGGATCGGGGTAGGCTTTCCTGAAGAGATGGGTTTTCAGAATGTGCCTAAAAGAGAGCAGAGTGAGTGATAGCCAGATAGATTGGGGTAGGGAGTTCCAGAGGATGGGTGAAGCCCTTAAGAAATCCTGGAGACGAACATAGGAGGAGGAGACAAGGGAGCTAGAGCATAGGAGGTCCTGCGAGGAGCGGAGAGTACGGTTTGGGTGGTATTTAGAGACAAGATCGGTGATGTATTTAGGGGCAGTGTTATGAACGGCTTTATACATCAGTGTTAGTGACACTGTGTACAGAGTGCAAAGTTCAGGGGTGTGCAGTGTGCAAAATTCAGGTACATAGCTCAAGGGAGCGCTATGTACAGGCGATGCACCTTGCAGGGAGATCATTCTCTCTCCCTCTGGATATTTGTCCCTGCCGTGAGCACGTGCAGGAATCTGTTAGATGCGGGAGTCATTGAGCAAAGCTGTCTCAGTAGGCTTCTGTGTTTACAAGTGATAGCAAGGAGTGGGAGCGGAGGGTGAGAGACAGGAAGTGGAACTTCATTCTGCCACGTTCTGCTGCAAAACTGGGTGTGGGGGCCGCACGACAAGGCTTGGAATGGCCTGGGGGCCTTGTGTTTGACATATATAATTTAAACGTTTAAAGGCATTCAATGAATGAAGTTAAAAAACCTTCAGTGTGCAGCGCCCCCTCAGAAAACCCTCCACATCCCTACCCCATACTCCCCTGAGCCCAATCCAGCAATGTGCACGTCAGCAGATGCTCTCCTGGATCTCTGCCTCCTCACTGGCTCCCGCTGCTGTCAATCACAGCCAAGGCGGATAGAGCTGAGCTATAACAGATTTGGAAATCTTTAAGGTGCTCAGACACAAGATTGACAATTCTACTTTACCTTAAACACAGGCAGCTTCTGTCTTTGTTGCTCTATTGAGAGCGAGGCATGTGGGTTATAGATAACCGAGGTCACTTCAGCATTACTTTGCCTCTCCTCAGCAAGGTTGGCACCAGGACCCTCTGTTCCTGTAAACACAATACACACATATGTTAAATGACAGATTTGATTCAAGTATCCTGAGGGGTTTTCCTTAAATGAACTCAACCACTTCACCTCTCACACCTGTTGGCCCCCTATGGACCAGAGAAATTCTTACCTTTCTGCTAGGAACCTATTTATTCAGCGATAACTTTGTCATTACTTAAGATAACAAAGTAATGTATATTTTGTTGACAAACAAGGCTTTCTTTTCGGGAATATGGTCTTGCAACAATGATTTTTATTTACAATCCATAGACAATAAACATAAAACAATTTTTCTTTTTGTGAGCTTTGTTAGTTTAAAAATAAATAGTGTTAGTGCAGATAAAAGGTGTATGTTGTATTCTGTAATTTGTCTTGTTTAAAATCATACTAAAATTATAACTCTGGTACATAGAATTGCAAAGATATTTAGAAATTAAGTAAAGTGTTTTTTTTTTTCAGTTTTACACTTTTTAAAATGTGAAACGTGTGTAAATGTTAAAGGTGTAAAAATATTGATAGACAAAGCAAACAGAAACAAGAAAAGTTTAAATATTAACATGTGGGGCGATCAAAGGGTTAACTGTGTGCTGTTTTCCATACTGGGCTGTGTGTTAGTGCTTCACTGTAAGCACACTGCTTTGCATGGCTGTGCATGAGCTGACAGGGAAGAGAACTGTTTTGTTTACAAACAGTTCTCCCCATCGGAGATGCTCGTTAAACACCGGGTGGCGGCGAGTATTCACCAGCCGGGACTCGGTGATAGACAGCCGCGGCTGCGAATAGTAGTGTGGGTAGGGCGCGCGTTCCCTACCTGGAAATGCAAAATTTTACGCGCCCGTGCCGCCCTGTAGCAGTATAGGGCAGACGGGAAGCGGTTAAAGGCGTAGTCCACTTTGATTAATAATTTAATCACATTGAAAAAAAAAATTACATTTATTCATTTATTGCATTCAGGCCTACGGAGCAGCAGGTGGAATGTGAGTGCACTGCATAGGCTCTTGCAGGCTGTCCCCCAGCTCCAAGTCTGTATTGGGGTACAAACCTTTAGTTGTCCAGCTTGAAGAAGTAATCAACAGACTACATATGCAGTGACATCCCCACACTTGAGCTCCAAAAAGATCTATGGGTTCTTTTGTCCCAGTGGCAGATGGGACTTGTAGTCTCTGTGAATGGATGACACAGCTGTGAAAGTGGAGTCACACCAAATTCAAGAGAAAACCGAAGGTGGCAGGGAGAAGAAGACCATGAATCTGGTAAGTGGGGAAGTGACAGTTTGATGGTGGATGAGATTGTGTATTGTGACCATGGGGTCAATTCACTAAAGGTTACCGCATGCAATATCAGGGTCACGTGACTCATTTGCATAAATTATTGTATGAGATAATAAAAAAGTCAATTCATCCAAGTAAAATATCAAATGTGAAGTAAATACCACACATTTGTTACAATTGTGAGATAAATACCACAAAAAAATTAGAAAAAAACAAAAAAGTCAATTCATTAAAAAACACATTCTGTATTTATCACCAGGTGCTTGCTGGCGGTATTTTAGAAATGTACAAAACAACAATTAGAGGAACTCTGCACTGGCCAGAAAGTGAAAAGTTTACAATGTATCAGTGTAAAAATGTTCTCCTCTGAGCTCAGGAATGAAAATAAATTGTAACATATCATCAGAGGCAGATCAATGCGTGAATGAAAGCACACTACAATTATTTTCATAGTTTAGCTGCGTGCATTCTGGTGCAATTTTAGCCTGCAAAAAAAAAATTGTGAAAAAACAACACCCAAAATAACACAAAGTATAAGTGCTAAATATCGCAAAACATAAATATTTAACGCATTTGGTAAATAATGCCTAATTTTTAGTGAATTGACTGCTTTTGAAATAAATACTGCATGAGTTATTTTAACTCAAACATTCATGCGGTATTTGTCTCTTAGTGAATTGACCTCCATGTTTCATGTGACATCCTAAATATGGGTGTATGTGAAGCAAACTCCCAATGGTGGACTAGAACTTTAAAGGGATAAATAATGGGGAAATGTGCGCTTTTGCAGAAATATACTAAATATGGTTTGTTTGTTTTTATTTTGCCCTGAACTACACTTGGATGTCAGAAGCCTCTCGAGGTCAACTACAAGTGGAAGGCACAAGAATAAAAAACGTATTTGTCCGCTGCCCAGAGTCCATCGATACAGGCCCACAGAGACAGTAGACAGTATAAAGCCCGCTTTTTCATGGGGTGGACTCCACTTGCTCAGCAGGAGAATCTATCCGTTGATCTCTGCTGAGCAGGCAGATGGCTGGTCCATGTGTGCTCTGCTTATGCAGAGCGGACACAGACAGCCTGATCTGCTCTATGAGCAGTCAAATGTAAACGGACCGCCTGTCTGTTTACACCTGACTGCCATCCAATCCGTTAGATGGAAGAGGAACAGATCCCTATCCATCCGTTTGTAAACGGACCGCCTGTCCGTTTACATCTGACTGCCATCCAATCCGTTAGATGGAAGGGGAACAGATCCCTATCCATCCGTTTGTAGTGGATTAGATCAGATTGGATGTAGGCAGTGCAAACGGACATGTGCGGCTTCACAGAGGAGAATGTAGGGTATGATCGGGTTCACCTGACCCACAGGCAGACCTGATCAGACAGCTAGTTTGAAAGGGGCCTAATGCATACTAAGACTTCATGCACACTGGGCGTTTAGCCCTGATGTATGAGGCTCCAGGGTTAAGCTGCAGTTGGAGGTCACATGTGCACCATCCAGCTCCGGCAGCTTGTCAAACTCTATGATATGCTGTGGCTGGACAGGGCTGGGTGGTGCACTCAGTGGTAATTCTGTTTAGAGCAGTATGTGTCCACTGTGAATGTCAATAATGTAGACTGCTTCAGATATGGGCATTCAATCCTGGGCACATACCACTGTGACGATTGTGCGCAATAGAAACATGGAAGCTGTACGTACCACCTTGTTAAGATCTCAGCCATGTTGTTTTTCATTTACAATCATCTCTCTCCCTCCTCTAGAAATTGGAATTTGTAGCTGTAAGTTGTAACAAAACTTCAAAAGAGCCTCTTATCTTAAAAGAAAAACACAAGTAGAGGCCATCTGTAAACCGCTAATTAGGCTTGGCAGGATGTCTATATGGCAAAGACCCTTTCCTCTGCCCTATCGTAAAACAATAACTCAGTCAGCCATCACATGTGACCTATTAGGTATTAGAGCTCTAGAAATGCAGAGCATGCCATTTATTTCTATTATCTATTTCACATGTAACCAGTTCACATACAGTTCATAACATCCAACATGAACTGGGCTCATTAATATTAGGTATATATTTGGATAGATCATTTCATGCCGAGCCAAACAAGGGCATACATGACTATGTTAGCACATAGTAAGGGGAAGAAAGCAGTCTCTTCCCTCCAGGGTGACAAGGGTACGTTGTATTTGGTATCCCTGGGTTTGAAATATAATTCTGAATATTAATCTGCCAGTTGCTAGAATACCACCTGCGATTACTGGAAGTTATTATTATTAGTATGAAATTGTTGTTACGACTTGGTCATAAACTTGGTGACCTCCTAGAACCCGTCCCCAAACTGGATGATTGGTCAGTTGTTCTCTGGCGACACTCCTTTAATATCCTAGAAAAGGACTGACAGGCCTGGTGAAGGGGAGCTCTTGTTTAACATCAATCAAGAAACATCTTAACGGGCTTGAGAGCCAAGGCAATCGTTTTGCTTGGACAATTGGACTCTGCTAAACTAGGATTTTGCAAGTATTCTGCCTTCTCAACTCTTTTCTTTTATTTCTCTGTTGCATTATTGTTCTCTTTATGTCTTTGTTACATCTTTTTCTGTAAATATTTTAAATTGCACCGTTTTAGTAATAAACTCTATTTTGAAAAGTGTTGAAACTGTCTCTAAAGCTTTTAATGCGAACTAAAGAATCCCTGTCTCTTGAAGAGTGCTACTGTATACAACAATCCTCTGAATATCCCTGTCTGTGGTGACAGTGTGTATTACAGACGCTAAAGCTAAAATCATAGTGTTATTGCTAGGATTTGTGAGTTTCCTCCTTCTCTGTAAAAAGGCGGTAGTGGTAGTGTGAAGGGTTAATTGCATAACCTAACCCAGTGACAACCACTCTCAGGCTGCTGCACATAGATTGTGGTCCCGCGAGCTGGAAAATTTTTGTGCAGGGTGCAGCTGAGAGTGGCATTGTTACGCAAGTGACAGCACGGTGTGAGATTGGCTGGTCCTTTGTCACGAGTTGGTGAGAAGGGTAGGGGTCGGGCACCGCGTGACATCACAACCGCTAGGTGCACCACCCACCCTCAGCAGCTGACAGACTCTCAGCATTTGACAGACTGCTGGCAGCAGGGCTGGATGATGCACCTGTGCCCTCCAACAGCAGCTAAACCCTGGCATCTCAAGTAGTAGGGCTAAATGCCCAGTGTGCACGAGGCCTAAAATGTCAACTAAAATAAGTGCATATAGACTGGGAAGCCAGCATTGCTGGCAAAGCCTGCAAATCTATCTCTCAACCCCCCACCTCACCCCCTCGGTCTCCGCCCGAATCACACACCTACTGAGCGACATATCAGACTGGATGTCGCTCCACTTCCTTAAACTGCACCTCTCCAAAACCGAGTTTCTTGTCTTCCCCCCAGCCCGGACACCACCCCCCATTGACTTCTCCATCACATCCAACAACGTCACCATCAAACCCGCCCCGCAGGCCAGAGTACTTGGTGACATTCTGGACTCCAACCTATCCTTCCAGCCCCAAGTCCAATCTTTAACAAACTCGTGCAGACTCCACCTCCGCAACATCGCCAAAATACGCACGTTCCTAACTCCAGAAACCACTAAACAGCTCATCCACTCCCTCATCATATCACGACTCGACTACTGCAACTCCCTCCTCACTGGCCTGCCTCGCCGCTGGCTATCCCCGCTTCAGTCCATCCTGAATACGGCTGCCAGACTCATTCACCTTTCCAACCGCTCCGTTTCCGCCACCCCCCTCTGCCAATCCCTCCACTGGCTTCCGATTGCGCAACGGATCAAATTCAAAATCCTAACGCTGACGTACAAAGCTGTCCACCATACTGCCCCGAACTACATCACTGACCTAATATCCAAGTACCGCCCAACACGCACACTCCGCTCCTCACAAGACCTCCTTCTCTCTAGTTCCCTGGTCTCCTCCTCCCATGCCCGCCTCCAGGACTTCTCCAGGGTGTCACCCATCCTCTGGAACTCCCTGCCCCAACCCATCAGATTATCACCTACTCTCCTCTCCTTTAGGCGCACCCTGAAAACCCATCTCTTCAGGGAAGCCTACCCCACCCCCTGCTAACTTGCCGACCTCCTCCACTCTTCCTACCACTCCATCCCCCACAGCTATCTCCTCCTGTGCCACCCCCCCCCCCTCCTAGATTGTAAGCTCGAAAGAGCAGGGCCCTCAATCCCCTCATGTTTTGCATTGTATTGGTATTGTTCTGTCACATGTTCTGTCCCCCTCTGTAATGTACAGCGCTGAGCGAACTATTGGCGCTTTATAAATACTGTATGATAATAATAATAATAACTCCCTTTTCCTGCACTTCACAGGGGGCTCAAAAAGACATCTGCTGCGATATGCAAAAGTGTAAAAACAAAAGTCCTTATCATTATATAGCCATATAGGCAGTTCATTAATGGCCCTGGAGCAATGGGTATGATACGACAACTACAGGACTTAAATGGCATGGCTGCCTAGTGTTAAAAAGCAAGAACACAAACTTTCAGAGACAAAACCTGGGACAGTCACTGTAAAACAGGGATAACCATGGCTATTGTCCACTGAGCAATCACTGATTTGACTGTTAACTATATGATAATTGATGCTCCATGGTAGCAAGGATTAAAACAACTAGTTGGCAGATTTTTACAACACGACAGCTTTCTCTGTATACTAGATTCTATCCCAGTGCCAAGGCTGGAAAACAATGTAATTTCCAGTAGTACCTGGAAGGCTGTCCAGTGGCTTGCCTGCATAGACTCAGACTGGCCCATTAGATGACCAGAGGTTTCTAAAGTTGGCCCCTACGCCTCACAAATAGAGCACCACTGCCATAGGTTGTATTTACAGCACATTAGGCTGTCAATGACAAAGTATCGCCTGCCTTTCTGCACCTACAGGCCACTAATCTACAGGGCCTTTCCAAGAGGCACTTCTGATGTCATTGATTGTCAGATGTTGACGCTCCTCCTGATACCAGCATAGGTCAATCTGAGGCTGCAGACATCATTACCCAAAATAACCTTCCCATATACCCTCTTCCTCCTCCTTGTGGAACCATCACCCACAGCAATGAATGTAAAAACTCTGCATTTCTGCTGGTGTAGTAATTGAGGTTGATCTGTGCTTTGCTCCGCCATTCACAGTAAGCCTTGTATTTTATGAATGAATACAAGGCTTCCTCTGATTGGCCTGAGTTGGAGAGGTGGGTGAATGACAGCATGATCTCCACAGCCAATCAGAAGACGTTTTGTACACATTCATAAAATACAAAGCTTTCTGTGAATGGTTGAGCAGCACTCAGTCTGAATTCATTTTGTTCTGTCAACGGGACAGGAAGTTCCCGTTTGCTGGTATATTTTATGTAATGAATGCTATTATTGTGTCTGGAAGGCTGGGTTAAGAAAAAAACCCAGAGTATGGAAGAAGATAGAAAGGTTTTTGGAGACATGTCCACATATGGGCAGTGTTGTATTTTCACCCAGACCAGAAGCAGAGACTATTAGGCATGCTCTCTGTTCTAATAGTTTAACTGCAGCTGCCCATAGCTTCTTGAGAATCCTTATAACAAATCTTTGTCCTAATGTCATTATCTCACATGCACAGTGCCAGACAGATAGGTCTGTGCTGTATATTTGTAGTAGCCACTGTCCTGGGCAGCACAGTGGCTAAATGGTTAGCACTACCACCTGGCAGTACTAGGGTCGCTGGTTCGAATCCAAACCACGGCACCACCTGTCTGGAGTTTGCATGTTCTCCCTGTGCTTGTGTAGGTTTCCTCTGGGTACTCCGGTTTCCTCCCACACTCCAAAGACATGCTGGTAGGTTAATTGGCTCCTGTCTAAATTGGGCCTAGTATATGTATGAAACTTAGGGACCTTAGATTGTATGCCTAAAATGTATGTAAAACACTGTGTAAATTGACAGCGCTACACAAGTACCATAAAGATAAAAAATAATGTTTGCAGGTGAACCTATTGCAAAAATGTTTACATGCTGCTGTTATTTTAGTTATCCCTGTCCCTTGTAGCTCAGGGCTCCACAACCGGAATAGGCTAGGCCACGTTCGCCACTTCTGGTAGTTAGAAGTCTGGTTGCCACTTCTGGAACTTAGAGGTCTGGTTGCATGTCAATATTGAAACTGCTAAGGACTATGGCAGAGAAGACAGGCAAATGAGTTCCAGGGCCACACCACTGTTCCTGCTGGTGAGAAGCTCCAATCTAGGCTGGTTGGACAACAGCAGGAGGATCTACCTATCACCGCTTATCTTGTCTTCGGGCTGCAATATGTGATTGGGAAGGGGGGGGGGGGTGACAATCTTGTGACAAGGGATGGGGTGCCAGCTAATGCATGAGGGGGGCTTGCAACAGTACGAAGTCCCCATATGTCTTCGACATCGACACAAGTCCTGATTGTGAAGGACGCAGCGGCGGGGTGGTGATCAGGCCCGGAGATATCCCTTAGGAGAGGGGACTGCTCCATGAACACCGGATAATGCAATAAAATGGGTCTGGGGTTCTGCTGGAACCTCTCTGGGTCTGGCCTGTATTCTCCAAGTTGGTGACAGGGTCTCTTTAAGTGAGCAGCACCAGCAGGAGCCGGGAGCAGCATTCACCCCACGAATAGTGAGCTCTCCGGTCCTCGTGAAGTGCTTCTCAGTGCCAGCAATGTGCCATAACGACTGCTACGTCCAGACTGACAATAACGATCGTTCCAGCTCAGTACCCTGAGTTTTCCGCACACCGGACCCGGCACCCCGTTCATCCCTTCCCCCTCACCTCGCCCGCAGCTCCCTTACCCGGCTTCCAGAAGCGAATCGGCCCCACGGGCGCCGCCATCTTTGTTGAGGGAGCACGGCCGAGGAAGTGAGCATGCGCGGAGGCTGTGGAGGCGAGTGATGGACGGTCGCCATGGTTTCCTTCCGGCTTGTCGGAGAGATCGCAAATGCAGTAGCCGAGCAGTAGAGCGGACAGGGTGCGAGGCATAGGGGCATACGGGGTGACTGGGGGAGAGGGAGGGAGGAGGAGAGGGGCCACAGGGCTGCCGGGAGGGAGGAGGAGGGGAGGAGATGGTGATGTAAGGGGGAGGGGGAAGACTGGGTTGTGATTTCCGGGGGTCATCATCATCAGGTGTTCTCCATGACCACTGACCCCCTGGAGAAGCTGGAGGGTTAAAGATCCGCAGTTATTGTCTAAAACACAAGAGTCGTGTATATTCTTCTGTGACTCTCACGGTGCTTTGTGTATTTCCTCCAGATCTGTGCAGTAATCCAGTGTGAGCCTCTACTTCCTGTGATACAGACCGGTCAGTGCTGCTCTCTCTCTTTGTGCAGGGTGAGTGGTCTCGTCTCCGCCCTCTCCTGTAGTTTTCTGCAGGCAAACTGCAGTGGGTGGAGCTTGCAGGGCCCCTCCCACAGCTCTGCTCTCTGCACAGGCTATGTACAGCACAGTGACCATGGCACTGCAACCTGTACAAAGTATTATCTGGGGCAGACTATATGGAGTTACACCAATCAGCCATGACTGTATGACCACTGACAGGGGAATACCATTGATTGTCTTGTTACAGTGACATCTGAGAGTCCGGACACTTTTACCCCCATCCTGTCCAGGCCAATTTTCAGCTTTCAGTGCTATCACACTTTGAATGACAATTGTGCGGTCATGCAACACTGTACCCATATTTATTTTTTAGCATTTTTTTGAGACAGAAAATTTTATTTTGGTTGTATTCATTCAGCACTGGGATTTTTTATTTTTTTTGCTATAGAAATGAAAAAGTCCAAACATTTTGAAAAAAAAGTGTTTTTCTTATAACATTTTGCAAATAAATAATCTTTCTTCATAAATCTTGGCCAAAATGTATTCAGCTATCTTTTTAGTAAAAAAAACAAACAAAAAAAAAATTAGTTTATAACCGAAAATTAAAATTTTTCAAAAAATTTGTTTACATTTTTTTTATATTATTGGGTTTTTGTTGTTAGCATACTGTCACCGTATTATTATTATTATACAGGATTTATATAGCGCCAACCAGTTTGCTCAGCGCTTTACAATATAACGGGAGACAATACAGCAACAGTCAGTTCAATACAAGAGGGATAGGAGGGCCCTGCTCCTTGGAACTTACAATATAGGAGGGAGGTAGTGACACTGTACTACTTGTGGGGGGTGATGAAGATTTTTTTTTTTTTACACTGATTGCTTTTACACCCATAAAGGCTGTAAAAGCAATAATTTCTCCTTCTCTCTGGCTGCATTCTTGTTTGCATGACTGTCACATGAAAAATCACGCAACAGAATCACCTGGTATTTTTAGGTGCCATTGAAATAAATGGCACCTAAAGACGCTGATGTGTGATGTCACATTTTAACATCACGTTTTGAAATTTTGGTCAAAATCATGGCGATTCGGCACACAATTTAAAGCGCCTATTTGTGAACAGAACCTATGGGGTTGATTTACTAAAGGCAAATAGGCTGTGCACTGCAATTGCAGTTGCTCCAAATCTGAGGGGAACATGCAAGGAACAAAAAAACTATTTTTGCTTGCACATGATTGGATGGCGGAAATCAGCAGCTTCACCTCATTTCAGAGCTTCCAAATCCAAACATAAGTGGGTTGCTACTACCTGTCAAATGTATTAGGCTTAAAGCATATAAGCTCACCGTGCCCAACTAGCAGTCTCCATCTGCTTAGAAATGCTAACGCGTTTCAGTCTAAAAACAGAAATTCTGAAGGACCCTCTGCACACTGGTATATACCCTTTCAAGCACTGACTTTAGTCTGTTTTTAGACTGAAACTTCTTAACCACTTCCCGCCCGCCCGCAATGTACCGCGACCGGGCGGCAGCTACAGGCAAAGCGACATACTCGTACGTCGCTCTGGCTGTACTAATACATGCCCCCCCCCTGCAACTGCTGTGTCCAGCAGACACAGCGGAATGAAGATCCCTGAGGATGTGCATGCGCACGAAACGCGTTGGGTGGAGCCTACGTGCTGACGTCACGCCGCCATGATCCGGAGCGGTGGCCATTTTAGAGGATCTCCAGCCCAGGATTGTGAATAGTGACCATAGATTTTTGCTACTATAGCAGTAGCTTTCTGGTGAGTGCATAGTGGTGGTGGTGGAGTGTTCACTGGATTCACTGGCACTGTATTTGAGCTGGATACATTGCTGTTTTGCAATTTGCAGTATCACTGGCACATATATGGACTGCAACATGTCACAGTATTTGTGATTTGCACCAGCACATATTTTATACTGTATGGACTTTTAATTATCGTTTCACTGATGTTTACGTTTTGTTTGCACTTATGTGTAAACTTTTGATAGTCATTTTCTTTAGCAAAAAAACTGTATTCTCGTGTGAACAAAAAGTGTCAGAAAAGGCTTGATCTTCAAGAGTGGGTGATGTGTGGCATAAGCTTCTAATGTTGGCCCTGAAATGCCAGGATAGTAGAAGCAACCCCTCCAAATGACCCCTTTTTGGAAAGTAGACACTCCAAGGTATTTGCTAAGAGACATGGTGAGTGTTTTGCAGATCTAATTTGTTGACACATGTTTATGGAAAATAAAGAAAGAAAACCAAAAAAACTTTTTTCTTTTCTTTTTTTTCTTTTACAAAACCCTGTGAAAAAAATTATATCTGTAAAATACTCAGCATGTCTCTTATCAAATTCCTTGGGGTGTCTACTTTCCAAAAAGGGGTCATTTTTTTTTGGGGGGGGGGTGTTTGTACTATCCTGGCATATTAGAGCCTCTGAAACTGTGATATGTAGTGGGGAAGTGATATGAGGAAATATGCACTTTGAAAGCCTGAAGGTGGTCATTGGATTTTGGGCTTGTATGTAGCTAGGCTGCCAAAAAGTATTTCACATGTGGTATCCCCATATTTGGGAGAAGTAGAAGAATGTGTTTTGGGGTGCTATTCCACATATAATCATGGCATGCATGAGCAATATATCATTAAAGTGACAACTTTGTGTAAAGTAAAAAAAACAAAACAAAATTGTCATATTCAAAACCTTTGTGACAAAAAATAAAATGTTCCATGAACTCAACATTCTTCTCTGCAAATCCTTTGGGTGTCCACTTTCCAAAAAGGGGTGGTCATTTGGGGGGGGGGGGTTGTACTGTCCTGGCATTTTAGTACCTCAAGAAATGTGATAGGCAGTCAGAAAGTAAAAGCTACGTAAATTCCAATATATAAAGCATAGTTTGTAGACGCTATAACTTTCACACAAACCAATTAATATACACATGGTGAGATTTTTTTTTTTACCAAAGACATGTAGCCTAAATTTATTACTAACTTTGAGTTTATTGGATATATTTTAGAACCAAAAGTAAAAAATATCTTTTTTTTTCAAAATTTTTGGTCTTTTTTTGTTTATAGCGCAATAAATAAAAAACACAGAGGTGATCAAATGCCACCAAAAGAAAGCTCTATTTGTGTGAAAAAGAGGACATAAATTTTGTTTGTGTACAGCATTGCATGACCACGCAATTACCAGTTGAAATAGTGCAGCGCCGAACAGCAAAAAATGGCCTGGTTAGGAAGGGGGGTAAATCCTCAGGAGGGCAAGTGGTTAATGTAAGTATGCCATGGAATATTTTTACACCTTTATGCAATAAAGAAGATTTTTGTATTCACCTGTTGCCGACATTTTTGCAATTGGACTCATTTCAGAGATTCCCCTCGGATCTAAAGCAACTGCACTTGCAATGCACAGCCTATTTCCCTTTAGTAAATCAACCCCCATGTGTTGCACTGTCACACACATTCAGCCACTATAAATCACAAAGTCCACCATAACTGAAAAATCTTGATAAGTCCAAAGTGCACCAGCCACCATGTGAAAAAAAAGAGTCCATTAACCAGAAGCTTAGCCTTCGCCTTATAAGAGGTCTAGAACCGCATTTGAGTGAAACAGAATCCCACATGGATAGATGATTGCATGGATAGCTCCAAGCTGCTTGGTCTTTTCACAAAGTGATGATTTGGGCAATGTCCTGCTGGGAAACCTTGTGAGGTGCGTTCCAGGGAGGCCGTCATATGATGTCCACCTGGAATGATGTGTGACCCTGGTTAAATTATGACCACGAGTCAGGGGAGCAGATCCCCAGCTTGCTGTCACTAGAGGTGGCGGAATGGGGAGATGCTTCAGCAGTGGGAACATGTATCATGATCCCAAAGGTGAACTTGTCTTTTAAGGACCTTGCCCTAGCACCCAATGGTGTATATAAGTTTTGTGCTGCCGTAGGCAACACCAAAATTGGCCCCCCAACACCTTCCCCTTCTGCAGAAAGAGCCTGACACCGATCAACACCCCCCCTCCCCTGGGAGAGAGCCTGACATTAACCAACAACATCCCTGCCCCCCCCCCCCACCCGAGAAAGCTTTCCACTACCATCGCCCCCCATAAACTGGCCACCACACACTCCCCCCTGTCGAGAGAGAGAAGACACTCACCTTCACAGCTCTGGACTTCCCTGGGAATGAGAGTCGGGCTCTGCATACACCGTCAAGCAGGCAACAGCCTTTCTTGGATCCCACCTGGTCCCCATGCCGCATGTGTCCCTTCTTCCAGGAAGGGGGGGGGGCAATGCTGCCCCCTTGAAAAATGCCGCCCTAGGCAAATACCTTTGTTTGCCTTGTGGTAAATACACCCCCTGCTAGCACCGATGGCTGGTTCAGAGGCACGTTCCTACAGTTTGCTACCTCCCGCTTTAAACCAAGAGAATGAGGTACTCAGAACTTGTGATCTCAGATCTGTGCTTTTCATGGCGCACTTAGGAAAAGTCATAAAAAATTGGGTTGAGGTTGGAGCAAA